TGAACAAAGTTTCAGATGCATCCAGACTTCAAATGAACAAAGTTTCAGATGCATCCAGACTTCAAATGAACAATGTTTCAGATGCATCCAGACTTCAAATGAACAATGTTTCAGATGCATCCAGACTTCAAATGAACAATGTCAAGGAGGCAGTGAGTTCTATTTTTTCCTCTTCCCAAAACGGGGCACTGAAACTCCATCATCATCAACCGCCTTGCCGATTGGTGTGGGCGATCATGCCTCTCCATAATCTGCGATCAGCAACTGTGGAAATTGCATGCAGCTCATTCCATGTCTTTTCTATCTTTTTTAACTTTACTCTTTAACTCTCTTTTCCATGTGCTTTGGCTTTGCTTTTATTTGTACGCCTTTGTGGGTTCAATGTAAAGACATTCTAGTGGTAGTGTTCTTAGGTTTTTACAAAGCTCAGCATTAATGATTTTGTTTTCATACCACTTAATTACCTCTACTCTGCTCAGGCACCAGTTCATGAATGAGTGTAGTTTATTAGTGATTGTTTTAGCTGTTCTCTGTGTGTATGCTCCATACAGCAGATCTGATTTGATATAAGAATTAAAAATGTAAAGTTTAGACCAACATTAACTTTACTTTCCTTTAATTTCCCAGTGCTTATCAAAACGTATCTTACCTTTTTAATTTGTATTTTAATATCTCTGTCAGTTGCTCCGTCTTGACCTACATTATTACCCAAACAAGTGTAGGACTCTACATCTTGGAGTGGGGAATCATAGATAAGGTCTTTGTTATTCTTCTATTCATGCCATCCAGGTATCCTTTCGTCCACTTGCTCTTTACCCATCGTTTGCCCGCTGACACCCATGTAAGCAGAGGGTAAAAGAAGAGATTTGAGGGTACAATACACAATTTAAAATATGAAGCGCAGGTGTAATAACGTTAGGATTCGAACCCGCTGTCACCACAAGGAGCACTGTTGTGTGTTCATTATTTGAGACATGCTTGGATAATATCACTTTCTGAGATCCATGCTTGGATAATATCACTTTCTGAGATCCATGCTTGGATAATATCACTTTCTGAGATCCATGCTTGGATAATATCACTTTCTGAAATACATGCTTGGATATCACTTCCTGAGATCCATGCTTAAATAATACAACTTTCTGAGATCCATGTTTGGATAATATAACTTTCTGAGATAAATGTTTGGATAATATAACTTTCTGAGATAAATACTTGAATAATATAACTTTCTGAGATCCATGCTTGGATAATATCACTTTCTGAGATAAATGTTTGGATAAAATCACTTTCTGAGATAAATGTTTGGAGAATTTCGCTTTCTGAGATCCATGCTTGGATAATGTAACTTTCTGAGATAAATGTTTAAATAATACCACTTTCTGAGATTCATGCATTGGATAATATAACTTTCTGAGATTAATGCTTGGATAATATAACTTTCTGAGATCCATGCTTTGATAATATAACTTTCTGAGATCCATGCTTGGAAAATATAACTTTCTGAGATCCATGCTTGGAAAATATAACTTTCTGAGATCCATGCTTGGAAAATATAACTTTCTGAAAGCAGTTTGGATAATACAGCTTTCTGAAAGTATGTTTGGAAAATACAATGTTGAGATCCATGCTTGGCTAATATAATTTTCTGAAAGTATACTTGGATAATACAACTTTCTAAGGTTATGTTTTGATAATATAACTTTCTGAAAGTGTGGGATAATACATCTTTTTGAAAGTATGTTTGGACAATACAACTTTCAGAATATATTCTTGGATAAAACCACTCTCTGCGAGTTTGGATAATACAACTTTCAGAAAGTATTTTGGGATAAAACCACTTTCAGAGAGCACATCTGGCTAATACTACTTTCTGAGACACGTGCATTTAAAAAAGACTGCCAAGTAAGAACACAATAATTTATTAAACAATATTTTATCCAGCATCTCACATAATACATACCATAATAACAGTGGTGAAATAAACATTCTCATAAATATATCTTCCCCATATGGGTTCCTGGACATCATTTTGAAGGAAAGGAAGAACAGACCCACTGCTTCTCTATAAAGCATGTCATGACAGGTGATTAATTAAGAGTTTGCTGAGATTCAAGGTGTTGGCCAAAAAGGGGCATATATTGCAGCCTAGCTGTAAGCCACAACACAATGTATGAACCATCGTTCAAAGGTAAAGGTAAAAGAATCGACTTCATTGCACCGGGTTTTATCCCACATGGCTCAGTCTCTCTTCACAGAACAGCTAGCTGCCTACCGAAAGCGTCACACAGAACACGACCTCTGTAACTCTTTTAACTCTTCTGGCACCAAGAAACACATCACATGTTGATTTTGTAACTAATTCAGCTGCCCTCGGATGCCCAGAAGAGTTAAGGATGAATGCTTCTTCTTCTTCTTCTTTGTGTTCACCAGCTGTCAACAGACCTTCCGGTCTAAAATGAATGACTAGGTATGGCAAAATGTTAACCTTCAAAGTTATTTTTGCTTCTGACAGCGCTTCGCTAATGCAGTTTCCACATATGGACAGTAGTCTACAGTTTCGCTGTCTGAGCTACTGAGTTTAGTGCTTGCTGTAGCCCTGTGAGTTGTTTTTCATGTGGAATGTCTTCCATTTGTGCAGCGGTTGTGTCGTGGTATTCAACATGGCCGGTAGCTGGTTTACGCGTGAGCTGGTGAAATATCTTATGTAATATTTCTACATGTGTATAGCCAATTTATCACGCCCGACTACTTCCATCAACAAAAAAGTGAATTTTTGGTTGCGACTGTTGGTTATGACGCCTCTAACAACTGCCATATGCATTCATTGCGTGCGCATATTTCTGGACTATTCTGGGACTAATTCTTGTTCAACAGTTTTTCACATGCGACTGTGAGGTACATTTCATTTTATTTCCATTGGCACAAGAATGGAACAAGTATGGGGAAACCCAATTGCAGTGACATTGAAACCTCGACTAAGACTATGGCTGTAAACTTTTGGCGGAAAGTTCTGGTTTGTTCATCCACTTCCTGAATATAAACTTGTTCTAGAACTTCAGTTTTACGTGCACATCCATTATACAGGTCTGGTTTATTTGTATGCGAAAAGGGATTAAGGTAGATTACTGTTAGGGACATGAGTTGCCTTCCATGATAACACCAGGAATGCTTTCTGGTGTTTCATGTTATAGTTGTTCAGCACTTGAAGGTTTTGGGTCATTAGTTTTTATTGACAGACAGTGTTTTAAAGTGATCTGTGTTGGCCACCATTGTTAATTTCTCTAAAATGTTAGATAATGTTAAAAACTGAATACGTTAACACAACTGTTAACTAAGGCTCTATGAGAGTGCCACCTCTCAACAACTTGTTGCGTTTTTGACCATATGTTCAAAAGATCTTCGATTTCAGCAAGCCTCGAGGCATGGCGTCCACCTTGAGTGCTTGAGGTCCCAGGTTCAAACCTCCAATGACGGCTAGGATTTTATTATGTGGACTTCTAGTAATTTCCCTTGTTCTCTGGCTAGTAAGATTGGATGCCCGTGTGTATTGTTGTGCATGTAAAAATATCCCTTGGCAGTTGGAAATTGAAAAAGAGTAGCCTGACAGCACCGCCCGGGCAAAATTTGGAGTTAAAAATCTACCCAAAGAATTCGAGGATCATCACCGGTGCTGCGAAATTGATGCACTGCAGTGAGATTCTTCTGACTCCGGCTTGAGTCAGAAGTAGAACAAAGCATTTATGGGTTGCTGTCCTTGTGCCATGATGTTGATCCGTTGTCGAAACCTAAACCTAATCCTTATGCTCCTGACGAAGGAGCTAAATCTCTTACATTATCAGCCCAGTTGTGTGATCCGCATGTACCAGGCGTTCTATTTCCAAGATAACATTCGAGTTCTGAAGCAAAATTTACTTAACAATATCTTTCGGTTTAAAAGTTATTCAAGTTTTGAGGCGTCCAAATTCTGAGGTACCACTGGAAGGATAAATGTACATGTCTGCAATTTTCCACTCTGTCTTGTTCAACAATAATAAACCTTGATACTACATACATGTCTTAAACTGTCATGTTATTTCAATTCTAACATTTGATAGCGAAAGTCAGAGAACTACCAAAGATATCGAATAAAAGTTAAATGGATTTGGGAAAAAAAAAAGAGAAAAATCATAAACATAAAATGGGATGAATTTAAAAAAGGAGTGAGGAGATCAGAGAAATGTCTGGACAAATACCTGTATCGATTGCAATAAGACGAAGATGGTGGAGATATATTGGTCCCATTCTGAACAAAATGAGCAAAGAATCACACCCCAAAAAAAGACACAGAAACAGCCTGAGAAAAAGAGGAGGTCCAAGAAAAACATTAAGAAGAACATTATTACAAGAAGCAAAAAATGCTAGGGTGAACTTGGTGCCAGAAATCAAGACAGTTGCATGCAAAGGAGCGGTTGTGGAGGAATCTGAATGCAAGCCCTATGTGACGCCTAACGGCTTATAAAAGATGATTTTGATATACATATACTTCGTCGTATTGTGTTCTTTATAGTATCGAGGTTAAAAAAAATAAACAGCTGGAGAGAGCTCATTTGTGTGCTTCCGATGGACTCTCTTATCCCTTCTGCACATAGTTTACTTCATCTGCCCTTCTTCTGATTTGCAATTAGTCTTTATATCACTGACTTGTAGTATACAGTCTGTTGGCAGATGAATTGGATGACTGAACAATTTCACGTGTCTGTTTCTTAATTTAATCTAGCACTGCTCAGTTTGGAAGCTGATGTAGTGTAGGAGCTAGATGCTTGTCTGCAGTGGAGTCATGGCCTAGAATGGACCACTCCTGAGTGAACAGAATTCAAAGCAGCCAAAATATTAATGAAAGAGCAAATAGCTTCTGATGACCACAGACCTTACACTTTCTCCATGGTGAACTTTTCAGTGCTGGAAATGCATTCTCGCAGTTGCTTCTTTTCTTCTCTTGCCTAGCCAAAGAAATTCCCTTAATCATCTAGCTCTTCTTCATCACTGAAATAAGCATCTTTCTTGTATTTCTTCCGTTTTGATGAAGAGCCGGAGAAGCTTGAACCGTCATCTAGAGTGTCATGTGACATCAAAGCTTGCTAGAAAAAAGATAAAGACACAAACAGCAGATGATAAATATGTGTGTCAAGGTTAGGTCGTATTTTGTGTAGTTGTTCAGTTCCCAATTACAGCCATATTAGAAGAGTTAACATGATATCCATGATTTATTTTGGACTCACATTACGTATTCAAATGTATGACCACTGTGCAAGCACGCAAGCAACATCACAGATGTTTTATTTTTCTCTGATATTATCAACTGATTGTCAGTCAGTCTGTTTGACTCCTCTGAGATGCTACCTGAAGGTTCAACACTCTGAGGAAACAAGTCTGGATGGCAGACTAACAAGGCAGGCCTAAAAAAAACCTGCTAAACCTCTACAGAAGTTATAATTAGGGCACCTGCAATGGTGACATCAGCCCAGTGTAACCTGCAGTCATGTGTGGGGAAGGATATCTGATACGATGCAGACCGCTCAAAGCGATCTCGGATGTATTATCCATGTTTCTAGTTTTTACACACAGGAAATCTTTGTTTTTTGCACATTATTACTACAATGTTTTATAGCTGCAGATCTTGTACTCTCTCAGTAAAGAATAAGTTTAAACCTGTTCGGTTCCAGAAGGCTTTGCACTTGATTTAAAATAAAATGGCAAATAATTAAATCATGAGTGCATCACTTTGAATATGAACACTAGAAAAGCCAAATGTCAGACAAGTACAAAAAAAGAGCGATAGGAAACATGCTTAAGAGACAAATATGGAGTCAAAAATTTGCTGAATTCACTGACTAATGAGACAAAAACTTGCTTAATTCATTGACTTGAGACAAAACTTGATGAATTCAATGACACCAACTGGAGAATAAAAACTAACTGAATTCATTGACCAACTTCAGAAAGAAAACCTGCTGAATTCATTGACCAGCTTGAGAAAGAAAACCTGCAGAATTCATTGACCTACTGGAGAAACAAAATTTGCTGAATTCACTGACCTACTTGAGATAAAAAACTAGCTGAATTCATTGACCTACTTCATGAAATCTGTTCAGCATGACAGGGCTATTCAACTGGTGCCTATTCCAATCCGGCCCACACAGGCCTAGTAACTAACCCATGGATCACCCGCCAATTATACTGTATCAATGATCTTTTTATGCTGGTGTTTCGATCACTGGCCTGCGATGATCCGAACTATCAACTGTTTGGCCCCTGAAGTAGGGTATGGAAATAAATGCAGACAAGGCTAAATATATAAACAATGATCAAGCTGGTATAAATACAATAATGAATTTAGAGGTCACACACTAGGAAAAGTGAATCAGTTCATATATCTAGAATCTATTCTAAGTGACTGAGGGTTCAAATAAGAAATTATGTCAAGAATTGCCCAACACCAGCTCCCGCTTAACAGCAAGTGTTAGGAAAATCCAAAACATATAATACAAAACAGAGATAAGACAGCTTAGAGTACTGGCTGTCGCGACCTTACATATAGCAGTAAAACCTTATCTTTTCAAAAATTACTTGGTATATCACACAGAGATCATATAACAAATGACGAAGTTGACATTGGCAACTATGAACCACTTTTAACAACAATGAGAATAGGGAAAAAGGAATGGTACAAGCAGGTAACCAGATTTATGGGCCTCTCCAAAATGATACAAGAGGGCCAGGCAGAGAGGAAGAGGCAGGTCAAGAAAGACCCAGTGCTGAATTTTATGAAAATGGAGGGAACTGACCTAACAGCCAACAGCCACTGGTGACCAAATGACACAGTGTTACAGGACTATAATGATGATGATGATGACTACGGCATACTATAGCTTTTGATAAGGCCATCCAGGTCAATGGAAATTCCCGTTTTTGTGCAACTCCGAGGGGCCGGTGTGAGTTCACTGTTTATCGAGCAGATTTATACACAAATTAAACTACAGTTTAATAATTTTTGCAAAGTTTTTAAAAAATTAATTATCATTCTGAAGATAAGTTAGTGTGCTAAAAAAATTGTGATAATTTAAATAATATATAATACATGTTGCAAATTAATGAAAAAGTATTTTAATTTGTGTATAAATCTACTCGATAAACATAGTGAACATGCACTGGCCACTAGTAGTTGCACAAAAACGGGGATTTCCAGTGACCTGGATGGTCTTATAAAAAGCTACAGTGGGCCGTGATGATGACACAGTGAAATCATTAATGGTGATTGAAGTTTACAGGAAAAGCACATCATTCTGAACCATGCACTTTGGCCCCAGGACTGCCACAGGGATCCGCCATCTCGCCTGTGCTCTTCAACATGTATACGAGCAAGATTGCAAGCCTAGAAGCACCAGGAGTTGGAAGGATACTGACTTTTGCGGATGATATACTTGCATATAGGCAGGGGGAAGAGAGGGAGCAAACAGCCCGGGAGCTACAAGCGACAGTAGACAAAGTGACTGAGTGGTGTACAGAAATGAAGGCTGTCGTCCACCCGGAAAAGGCGTCTGTTTTGTGGTGTTCTCTGGACAACAGAATCGTTAAAACTAATGTCCCAGGTCTCACGATAGATGGTAGAGACGTCAACAGAGAGAGCAAACTGAAGTATCTGGGAATTACATTTGACAGGAGTCTGTCATTTAAGGACCATGTGGAGAGTGTTGTGACGAGATGCCAAAAAGGACTTAGTGCACTTAAGACTATGGCTGCAATTGACATAGAGCAGAGAATGCTTTTCACACTATATCAGCACCTGAACCTGTCAGTGGTGGATTATGGCCTGGGACTGCTTACCGTCTCAAAGAGTCAGATGGACAAACTAGAGCGCATACAGAACGCGGCTATGCGGGTCATTCTGGGTTTCACCAGAGACACCCCAGTGGTGTGTATGCGATACATCCTTGGTTTGCCGACGGTTGCAGGTAGGCACCAGGTGATGAAGGCGAAGTCATATTTCAGGGTAGCTGCAGACACAGACCACCCTCTGCATGAAGCTCTGGGGGCAGTTAAGGGTCAGCGGCTGATAAGAGGGAGGTCATGGATGGCTCAGGCAGAAGACACAATCAGACAGGTTTGCATCCTTAGGCGAGGAGAGGAGTGGGTCAAAGTGCCACCTGAGCAGTCATACTTGTGTAGAGTCATAATCACGCTGAGCCGGGAATGCAGAGACTGGCCAGCAGGTGCCACAGAGGTGGAAATTCAGCAATTAATTCAAGATAATGCTCGCTCAGAGGATTTGATCATTTACACAGACGGTTCGGTGCCAAGAGGCAAAAGAAGTGCTTGGGGCTTTTTAGCAAAAGTTAATGGTCGACGTTTGGTGCAGCAGAGCCTAGCATATGATACCACAACATCCAGCTTGAGAATGGAGGTGGAGGCGGTCACTGCAGCTTTCCGCTGGCTAGAGAACACGATGCACACACACATTGTAATTGTAACTGATTCAGAAAGCATGCTGAGGAAGATTAGAACAGGTATGCTTCGTGCAGAGTGGCATGCTTCGCTGCGGAGGACACGAGTGAGCAGTATTGTCTGTTTTTTTTCACCGGGTCACGCCGGTGTGTTGGAAAATGAACAGGCGGACAGGCTGGCTGGCTCTGCACAACTTAGTGCAATACTGCTACATGATAGGGCAGACGTGGTTAGTGCCTTGTGGGAGAGCGTGTACAATGCGGAGGAGCAGATGGATCACCAGTTTGGTGAGATTGATGCAGTTGGGGGTGACGAGAGGTTCTGGCAGAAGCTCAAGGCTCAGAGGAAAGGCAAGACGGACATTTAATCAGAAAGCTACTGGCACCATTAGTATCGGATTTCTTCGCTGGCTGCTGAAGATGGAGACAAAGCGCTTATGGGAATGCCCCGGGTGCTGTGATGTCGGTTCTTGAATCAAATCAATGTTTGGAGCTGCACAAATTACAGAGATACAAAACAGATAGATCAATGTATCTCACCTGGAACTGTATGGCTGCAGCAAGAGATTCATCCATGGCTGCTCTGGTTGCTGTATCATTATCACTATCATCATTCTCATCGCTACAGTATTCACCATTGGAAACATAACAAACAATTTAAAACAGTGTCAAAATGGAAGACTATTTGTTAGAATTCACTACTAACGTAACACATATCCAAGTAATGGCAAGAGACCTAAGCCAATAGAAAATAAAAATCAATTTAAATAGTTCTAAGCTGGGAACATGGTGCAGAAATTAGGGCGATGGGCAAGCAACTAGAAAATCAAACTGAGACTCTGGAGATGTGGGTATACAGAAAAATAGGTTGTGTTTCATGGAAACAAAACAATCTAATACAGAGGTTCTGCAAAGGCTTTAACTGAAAAAAAAAGAATTACTGAAAGAAATAAAATAAAAGAGACAACTGAAATACTTTGGCCACATTAAAAGACATAACACACTTTTAAAAACCATACTGGAGGGAAAGGTCGAAGGCAAGAGGGCAAGAGATAGACAATGAGACAAGTGGGAGGACAATATCAGGAGATGGACAGGCAGCAGTCTGAGAGAGTGTACAACCAGGACAAGAGACAGAGCGTGTTGGAGATCCAGTGCAGCAAACCTTCATTGTGGAGATGGCACCTGATTGGCTGAGGCTGGAAACAACACTAATTAATGCTGTTTAAACACATTTTTGCTACCAGAGAACAGAAATAGCAAAAATATAATTCAGACAAATTTAGAGGTTCAAATAATATATTTCACAATTTATAGACTGAAATAATATACTCTATCCTGGAGGTGCACAGTACAGAAGTTTCATCAACATATAATAAAGTATCTTCTTCTTCTTCTTCACTTCCTCTTTTACCGCTATGGGTGTCGAGGGAGACATAAGGTTCTGTCTCTAGCTCTTCTGGCCACCTCGACCATAGGCACATCGTGCTGTTGTAGAGTTTCTCTGATGTTATCCTTCCATCTTGTTCTTGGTCTACCTCGTGCTCTACGTCCTTCTTCTCTTTCCATGTATACTTTGTATGGTATGGTGTCACAAGGCATTCTATCTAAGTGGGCAAACCATTTCACCCGCTGTCTTCGTATGTAATTTAGAATTGGTTCTGTGCCGACTTTGTCTAATATGATCTCATTCCTGATCTTATCTCTTATGGTCACTCCTACAGCCCTTCTCAGACATCTCATCTGAGAAGGGCTGTAGGAGTGACCATAAGAGATAAGATCAGGAATGAGATTATAAGAGAAAAAGTCGGCACAGAATCAATTTTAAATAATAATGCATAAAACATGAATACTTTCAACATAAATATATACAAACACGACTGTTCACTGTTATAATGTACATCTAACCACAGAAGTCATAGATTAACGACATGATTGTTTGTTTACAGAATCATCATCATCATGTAGCAGGCCCTTTGCAGAACATTGCTTTCATCGCAGTCTGCCTGGAATAAACTAGGTCTCCCGCCAGCTTTCCCGCTTCATGTACTCTCATACTCAAGGAGTCACTTACATCCTGTGCTCATCTTCGTGTTGATTGGCCCCTTCCTCTCCTTCCTGGTACCGCACCTTTTGCTATTATTTTTTCCAACAATAAAGAATACAGGACCAAATTTTTTTGTTTTAAGGTTTAGTCTAATTACTTTACTATATCATCATCAAGTGCCTTGCCGACTGGTGTGGGGCGAACATGCCTCTCTGCAATCTGCAACTGTGTGTATCAGTTCATGTCTTGACATCCTTCCAGGCAATGACAAAAGACTGTCAAGAATCTTTTCACGCTGTCTTCCTCTGTCTCTCTTTCCAAAAATCTTTACAGTGGTCACAACATGTTTCATTTTCCCTCTTCTCATCACATGACCCAAAAATGATGACTGTCTCTTTGTGATAGTTGTGATAAGCTGTTTTGAGTACTCGCCTCTTTCAAAACATCTGGGTTGATCCTCTTTGCTGTCCAAGGAATTCTAAGGATTTTTCTGTAAAACCACATCTCCACGGCCTCAAGATATTGTCTGGCTTGTTTATTAATTGTCCAGGCTTCACAGCCGTATGTTAAAACTGACTCTATATAGCATGCGAGAATGTTACTATACCATCATCACCATCAGGTGCCTTGCCGATGGCATGGGCGATCATGCCTCTTCACAATCTGCAATCTCCTGCAGCATGTATTAGTTCATGTGCCGACACACCTCTATGCCACGCACCAAGACTGTCAAGAATCTTCTCTTGTTGTCTTCTATCCCTCCTTCCACAGATCTTTTCAGTGGTCACAACATGTTCCATCTTCCCTCTTCTCATAACATGGCCAAAAAATTATTACTTCTACAGAAAAAAAAAGGCTTGTTTTTTAAGTCTCCAATATTCAGAATTGTAAACATGAAACTTGAGACAAAATACACCAAATGATTTCCTACCTGTCCCTCTGCTGATCATCTGTCTCATGCTTCCTCTTCTTCTTTTTCTTGGGTGGTGGTTCCCTCTCACCCAGCAAGTTCTTTGGACACTTATAGCTCAGATGTCCTTCCTCCTGTTGCACACAAGCAAAGGGAAAAAAATTAACAATATAAGTTAAAAATATCAGCAACAACAAAATAATTAAGATGCTGTATCAAACACCAAAGTAATTTACTTCTTCTTCTTTGTTCAGCCAAAGTTCCTGGTTGTTCGTCTATCTGGACTTTGGCTTTGTTTAAGGGCCTGAGTTTTGCATGTACTTCTGTTTTACTGGCTTATTTATGTGCAGTTGATTGTTCCTTTCCTTGCCGCTCAGGCAGATGCACTCCGACTTTGAAGGAAGCCCCAAAGTCGACTCTTACGACATGCGTGTTGGGAAGACAGTGGGTTTATTCTTGGTTTCCCCACAATGGGATCCTAGAACCCCTAGATTGGAAATTAAACAAAAAAAATCAGAGGTTGCTGTAATCAAATAATCAAAGTAATTTACTGTAATAAGTGCTTTCACATCATCACTGTCTTGTTATACCCTTATATGTGACATACGGCCCGCAGTCTATTCCTCCTTTTCACTTTATCCTTAGCAATAAATTCAATATCATGGATGGAATCCAGCCCAGCACCTTTGGCCTCAAACAATAACATTCATTTTAGATTTCTTTTGGGCGTCATAGCGTCCTCACAGTCCTTTAATTTCCAATGTTAGTGCTATTACTTGCAAACCCATAAATTATATGAAGCACATAACTTGAATCCCACTTATTCCAGGAATTGAATTCACTTATTACAGCAGATTGAATTCCACTTATTCAAGCAACTGGAATTCACTTATTCCAGCAACTACTTTTGAACCTTTCAACCAGCGCTCTCACTTATGAAGTCATTTGCCTCTCTCACTTATGAAGTCATTTGCCTAACAGCCCAAAGGCCATGAGCTTGCTTCTGACTGTGGCATTTGGTTCATGAGTGCATTTTTAGAGACCTCTTGGGAATATCACTAGAGCTACTGAGCCCATTCTTTGTGTGATACTCGCAGCAGGTAACCAGCTGTGCCCTGGAAAGATACCGATCTGGTGTGACCAAACCTACTTCAATGACATAGCTCCTCTCAACTCTTTCACCTTACTTTTATTTATCACTGCATGTCTACTTTAGAGACACTTTCATAGCAACTTTACTCCTGGACTCAAAGGCAGAAAAACTTTGAAATAAAGGACAAGAAATAAAGGAAGAAAGATATAAAGAACTAAAGAAAGAATAAAGAAAGGAAGAAGAAAGAGAGGAAGGAAGAAAGAATGAAGGAAACAAAGTTTTCTTTGGACATCTTATGAGAAGGCATTCTAGAATATTCTGATGAATGGAAAGATCAGTGGCAGAGACAGATAAATAAGAGATAAAAGATAAGGAAGGAGCTGAACAAGCTTTAAATGACAAGAACAAGAAAATACTTAGAAAAGTTTACCAACAAAGTGTTCGACCACATCTTGAATACGGATCAACAGCATGGAGTTCGGCATCAAAAACCACATTGCAAGAATTAGACAAAGTGCAAAATCAAGCACTCAGAGTTACCACAGGCAGTATGAAATCAACACCTATAGCTGTGATGGAGAAAATGGGGATGACCCAAGCACTAAGTGAACGCAGAGACACCAAGATGCTTTTACAAGCAGAAAAGTTTCTTAGTATGCCCAGTCACCCTATGAATGAAAGATTCAAAAATTTAGCTTTGGGACGACTAAAGAGAAGTAGTTTTATCCACCAGGCCAAACGGCTCGGCAGACAAACCACTGATTAACCTGCAACTGATAGATCCTTAAATGCTGTCCCAGAACGGACCCCCTGGAGAGAGGAGTATAAGTTTCCAATACACATCAAGACTGAAGTGAAAGAGGTATTTGACAAGGAAGAACAAAACAGTGTGCAGCGCAAAACAGCCACCCTCAGTTTACTTGATGATGAATACCCGCAGAACCTTTGGGTCCGTGTTTACACAGATGGGTCAGCAGAAAGCGCAGTCAGAAACGGAGGTGCGGGAGTGTACATTGAGTATCCTAATAATACCAGGGATACAGCCAAATTACCAACGGGAAAGCACTGTCACAACTATGATGCAGAAGTTCAAGCCATCAAGATAGCGGTAGAGAAACTACTAAATACAGGGTATTTTTCACAACCAGTGGTATTCCTGACAGATGCAAAAGCAGTACTTCAGTCACTCCAGTCTGGAAAATTACCAAGCATACGGACACTATTATCCGAACTAGGCAACCGCTGTAAATTAGTAATGCAGTGGATACCTTCCCACTGTGGAGTTCCCGGAAACGAAAAAGCTGATAAACTAGCTAAGGAAGGTGCAACTGAAGAACAACCTGACATACCAGTCTCTTATCAACAGAAGAAGAGAATGATCAAATCAATCAGAATGCCATCGAAACTGGCACAAGATGATTACCATATTATGGACAGACCAGAGCAAGTTATTATCCTGTCCCATATTCAACGCTTTCAGGCAAAACATTTGGCCAAAAGAGACACTTGTGGAAGTCAAACTTTACGGGCCGCTTAGTGAATTACAAAAGACAGTGAAATTCATACAAGAGACGGCTTTGCAGATATAGACAATTTATTTCATGCGAACGAAAGAAGAAGAAGAACAAGAACAAGAAAATGTGATGTAAACTGGATGAATGCTTAGGTTCCACTGAAGGTTAAAGGGCAGAAGTATAAGAAACTACCCACTGTTTTACATGTCTCCTTCCTCTGCTTTTCATCTCCAAACAGAAAACAGACTCTCAGTCAACTCATCTAAGCCTGTTCATGATTGGCTGGATTTTGCAATGAAAGCTTTCTAAAAAATGAGACAGCCAACCTGGCACCAATACTTACCTGTCATCTTTACAACATTCCTGGTAGCTTTATCATCATCATGTTGTGTTGTTATATGTCACACAGGGATCAGAATTTATTCTTCCATTCTATCATGTGCAATTATTTCAATATTATGGATGGAACGAACAAACACACAAACGTTGATTTAAAAAAAGCCTGTCTAATATTCTGCCCTTCTTCTTCTTCACCAGCTGTAAACTCGGGCGGAAAGTTCTGGTTGTTTGTGCACCTCTGGACTCTATTCTTTGTTCCAGAATATGAGTGTTGCATGCACATCCATTTTACAGATCTGACTAATTTGAATGAAGACCATTCATTCCTTGTCTCTCAGGCAGATGCACTTCAACTTCAAAGGAAGCCCAAATCAGTCGACTCTTACAACATGCTTTTGGGTAGGCAGTGGGTCTATTCTTGTTTTCCCCACAATGCGGCCCCGGAACCTACATGGGTATCTGGCTTTCTAATCTCTCCCCTTTCATTTGGAATCTATTTCAGCACCCTTAGCCTCTTGGATATTTATTTTAGGGTTTCTTTTGGGCACCCTTTTTTTCTTAATCCATTCAGGTTATGTTATTATTCCTTGCTGCCTCTATGGGTCTGGCTTATACATGGGTACAATTTTAGCTGCCAAACTAATTTTACAGCCTGGTAAACTACAGAGAGTTACTAAGAGCTCTAGAATACTTACACCACATTCGTAACATCTAGATTTGTCTAAATATTCTCTGCGGCGAATAAACTCAGGAGCCCTTCCATTGTCCTTGGCAATGTTACAAGTGATTGTTCTGTCAAACATCTGAAATAATAGCAATTGTATTATTACCCTTAACACATGACTGTTTATAATAGTGTACAATCAAACAGAGAAAGATATGTTGAAAGGAATTAAGAGTTAACATTGTTATACTTGGAACAGTCCCTTAAATTCTCCATCACCATCTTCAGCAGCCAGCGCAATTCTATTTTTGATGGTAACAACAGCAATTTGATTGTACATGTGCGTGTTGACTTTCCTCTGAGTGTTGACCTGATCCTCCTTCCTCCACACTGTCCACTTGCTTCAATAAGGAAAGATACTGTAGGAAAGACACTGCAGCCAATATACACTATGACAAAATGACTAACAACAAAATCTTAACATATATTAGAAAACAAATTTTCACTGACTTCATGGACACTTTTATTCAAATGCTACAGTGTAAAGATGCAGAGGCAGAAGGAGACCAGGAGAAAAGATGATGGGGTATGTATCATGAGAGTCACCCCCATCTCATTCGCGCGTGAGATTTCATGTCGGTCTCCCGCTCATGTTGTCCTAGTTCCCACAGGCTGTCCTATGTTGTGGGGGGCATTACCATGTGCCTTGCTTCGCTGTGTATATACACAGTGTCAAAAAAAGGCGGCCAAAGGTTTGTTTTCGCAACTCTGTTTTCTGCCAATGGTAGGTCTCAGTTCTACCATCATTGTATACTCAAGAAATGTGATAACAATCCTTATAATTTTCAGGCACAACCACACTTTAAGTGCTAATCTAGTTTTATAATACCTTTGTTTTATTAAGAGCTCTAACTGCAGCATAAGCTCCATCTCTGTCTAGATATAGCACAAATGCAACTCCCTTGCTCTGCCTGGTATGTTTGTCCCTCACAATAGTTACTCTGAAAAATACAATATCTATATATATATAAATCAATGTTTGTGTGTTTGTTTGCCCCCTATAGACTCGGAAACTACTGAACCGATTTAGCTGAAATTTTCAGAATATGTTTGTTTTGATACCGGATTTTGAACCAACGTGGTTTGAAATTCAACCTGTCACTGTTAGAGATAGGTGACCACAATTTAATCCATAATATCCGAAACTAATATTTATACCTTTAGTGATTTCTAATTATAGCCACGTTAGTAATTGCGCATGCGCCGTAGTTACCATTCGCCGGCGAGTTACGTGCAGCCAACGCCTTCTCTAATACATAGAGTAGGTCGTGGTACAGCAAACAAGACTATCTCTATATTTGCCACAATAACTATATTAAACACGATTTCTATTTTCTGTTTTTTTTTCAAACAACCTTCGATTGGGGGGAAGAAGGAGGGGGGGGGGGCAATCAAGGACTATCTCGACGTCGGCGCAGACAGTGACTGCGACCCTAACTTCATTAACCGTGTTAGACACGTGCGATTTCTATTGTTGTGCCGTTTCATTAATATATCTGGAGTATCTGTCTACGAGAAAACAATTGCCTGCGGTTTTGAATTGTGTTTTAATCGCGACACAGTAGTAGGGACACACATCTCTAATAGCTCTCTTTTCGTTGATCCGATTAAGTGGCTGCTTGGTCGAATGGTTAAAACACTGGGTTCCTGTGCAGGAGACCTGGGTTCGAATCCGCAGCAGTTAAATTTTTTTTTTACCGCGGACTAAAATAATATCCTCATCTGCTCTGTCGTGGTGACAGCACTAGCCATGTTGCCTTAATATTTTTTAAAAAAAAAAGTAAATGGGTAAACCATTTGATAATTAAATTTGACTATTTCGCATACTTATGATTGCATTTTTAAACTTTCCTATTGCATGGTTACGCTGAAATTTCATAGATTTTCATTTATTTTCATTCAGATTTAGTTATTTCATCTGCGTTGGAATTTTAAGCTGTGATGTTTACCATGGCTTTCATTTCCTAATTATGGTGTTTTTTTCCTGTGTTCATTTGCTTTTCAAGTATTTTTTTCTCCTCCCAACTACTTCAATGAGGGAAAGAGTTGTCGGTGAATTTGGGGGGGGGGGGGGGGGAACTATTAACTGAGAGAGCTTTAAGTCACAGTAACTGCTTTACCCACTTAAAGTAGCAGCAGCAGTAAAAGTAAAAATACAAACAGCTTTAGCATGTGATAACCAAATAACCATTTTTGTTACTGTGCTAATAACACCATTTAAACGACCACTAATATAAAGACACAATTATAAGGTGCGTGTTCTAAAGTTGAAAAACCAGACTATCTCTATATCTGTGCAGAGAATGATTGCGACATTAACTATATTAGACACATGCGATTTCCATTGTCTTTCTTTTCCAAAAACCTTTGATGAGGGAGAGAGTAGTAGGTGGATTTAGTTGTGGTGGGGTGGGGGGGGGGGGGGGGAGAATCAAAGACTATTTCTATATCTGAGCAGACAATGATTGTATTAGACACGTGCAATTTCTATTTTCTTTCATTTCCATTTAGCCAAACTATGCCACAGAAACGTGTGGCCGGGTACAGCTATTACAAAATAAATTATTAGAAAAATTTTATTTATAAAAATAAATTTAAAAAAAAAAGGAAGCACTGTCTTATGGTATAAATGAATCAATATTTCCACCAAGAACTTAAATAACTGCACTAAGGACACACCCATATGTGCTCAGTCCCCTTCCTCAGTAGTCAACAAAAAAGTTTCCTGAGTGATTGTGCCAGTTGCTACCTGATTAGAAGTTTGCGTGATTTTCCCTTGTGGATTTAAAATAAACAACCCTGCCCAGGCCTTCTGCTCTCACTCAGTTGAATCATTCTCTCCAGACATGGATGTTCTGCCTGTATTGTTGCACTGTTCACTTGATCATAGAGAGCCTTTACCACGTTCGCTTTATTATAAAGTAGCTCACTGCCCAGAAGGGCAGCAGCTGCTAATCAAGCAGCTCACTGCCCAGAAGGGCAGCAGCTGCTAATCAATCAGCTTGAACATTACTATCTACACCAGAAGTCCCTGGCGAAAAATTCAGGATATGCTTCTAATCAAAATCTTTTCAAATAATACATCTGAGCATAAAATACCAGTTGCTATTCTCTAAAGCATGCTCTCTGATTTAGTTATAAATACCAGTTTCTATTTTCCAAAGCATGCTCTCTGAGTCAGTTATAATTACCAAATTACCAGTTACTATTCTCTAAAGCATGCTTTCTGAATCAGTTATAAATACCAGTTTCTATTTTCTAAAGCATGCTCTCTGAGTTAGTAATAAATACCAGTTTCTGTTTTCCAAAAGCATGCTCTCTGAATCATTTATAATTACCACTTTCTATTTTCCAAAGCATGCTCTCTGAGTCAGTTATAATTACTAGCTTCTATTTTCCAAAGCATTCTTTCTGAGTCAGTTATAAATACCACTTTTTTTTCCCAAAGTTTGCTCTCTGAGTCAGTTATAATTACCAGCTTCTATTTTCCAAAGCATTCTTTCTGAGTCAGTTATAAGTAAAACATGTCTGGCTGTTCTTTCTCCAGCCATCAGGAAAACTGCCAATAGTGCTTCCATCTTCATTCTCATGCCAGATGTTGTGACATTATATGCAGGGCTTTCTTTTTATTTAAACAGTTTCCATTCTTCTTTGCAATGAAAACCCATCCATTATTTTTTTTAGCTGTCACTACAGAGTCATTTGTATATAGATCCATTTGTATATAGATCCATTTGTATACATCATATCACCTGGGCATGAATTTTCATTGATCAGTTCTTGGACCAATACTGATGTTTCCTCAGCCATCCATTCCCAAAGCCAATGGTCTAAAGCAATTATAACTCTTCTTCTTGCTGTTCATTATCCTCCAAGAGAGGTCAATGTGTTATGCCTGTTTACAGCACAGCGGTGATATTTGGGCCTTTCAGGCAACACATCCGACCTCTTTGGGCACCTGTTATTCGGGTTAGCCTTCCCAGGTACTATCACTCTCTGCAGGGTTGCTCTGCTGAGCCGCACTGTATTTCCTTCAACTCTTCAATAGTTCTAGAGTGTACAGTACTTAACTCTTTTACTACCTGATAACTCACCAAACTTATTCATTAATCTATTAATAAATTATAAATTTCATAACCGCTTCTATTATTTTAATCTGTCCTGTTCATTTTGTTACGTTAACTGTATTAATTTAATATGCAGAAACACAAAGGAAGTGAGGATGTCTAATAGAAACCCTAAGATGAATTTTGTACAAGATGACCAAAGGTATTGGAATTGAATCTATCCATGATATTGAAAAAAACTGTGCAAGATGGTACGGAATGGAAACATTTTAATTTTTCTGGCCTCCACTAGCTGTAAACTCTGGTAGAAAGTTCTGGTTGCTCATCCACTTCTGTACTTTAGTCTTGTTCCAGAACTTGAGTTTTGCATGCACAGTCATTGACAGACCTAGCTTATTTGTTAGCAGACTGTTAGTTCCTCGCCTCTAAGGCAGACACACTTCGACTTCGAAGGTAACACCTGCAATCAGTCAACTTTTACAACATGCTCGTTAGAGAGGCAGTGAGTCTATTCTGTTTTCACCCAATATGGACCCATACTGGGATAATGAAAGAATAGATAGCAAATCCTAAATACAGCAGCATAGTAGGGTGATGCAGATGATGTAATTCTCTGCTTTCATTATTTAAATTTACTAAGTTAAAATATATTTGTTTTTAACTGAAACAGTTCATTCTTACCGAACCACTTTGCCATACTTCTCAAATATTTTGTGCAAATCATTGTTTGTTAACGAAAAAGGAAGATTGGAGACATAGACGGTGCACTTGCTGGGTGCTAGTTTCTTAACAGCACTCATCTTTTGGTGATTTCTGCGGACAGACAAAAATACTCAATTATTAAAAAGAAAAGTCTGGGACCTTTTTAAAATTTCTGGGGTATTGAGAATCTGGCTTGAGAATCAGCTATACACACATGTCGTGATGGTGACTGACTCATAGAACATGTTGAGAAAGGTAAAAACAGGCATGCTTCGTGCAGAGTGGCAAGCATCACTTCAGAGGTCCCGGGTAGTTAGCATTCTTTGGATATTTTCTCCAGGTAATGCTGGTGTGGTGGGAAATGAGCAGGCAGATAGACTGGCTGGCTCTGCGCCACTTGGTGGTGAACTGATGGATAACAAGTTAGATATTGTGAGGGCTCTTTGGGAATGGGTGAACAGTGCGGAGGCGCAGATGGATCATTACGGTCTAAGGAGAAGGGTGCTGCAAGGAGTTACCAGGGTATCTGGCCGACGCTCAACACTCAGGGGAAGGATGAGGCGGATATACAATCAGACGGTTACTGGCACCATTGGAATTGGAACTGAGTCAATACAAATATAGTAAGACTAAGTGATTAACTAGAACAGAACATTGTTTGGCTATCCTTCGCACAAAAGATGGCGGCCAATAACAGGGCCTCAGTCACGTGTCAACTGCGCACTTCCGGCGACTTAATTTGCGGTTTTCCGGGCACTACCGCCATGAGTTCCCCCATGCCGCTTACGTGGCGTGGATTGGGGGCTAAACTAGATGGCTAGGACTCACGAGCAAAGCTGCAGGAGATGCAGAAGCTGCTGCCCGTGAGTCCCAGGCATCTAGTTTAGCTCCAATCCACGCCACGCGAGCGGCATGGGGGACTCTTGGGGGTGGTGGTAGTCACCGGAAAACCGCAAATTAAGTCGCCGGTAGTGCACAAGTGAAACGTGACTGAGGTTCTGTAAGGATGTTTTTGCGGCCGCCATCTTTTGTGCCCGTTATTCGGAGGATAGCCCATTGTTTGTATACCGTGCTCCTGTAGTTGAGTTCCACGGGGGATGGGGTGGAGGACAGACCCACTACTACTACTACTTATTTACCATTGAATATTAACAAGTATGTCGTAAGCAATGAAATATGATAAATAAGGCGACTAACTAAATAATAATAATTATAATAAGCCTTATTAAATATTATAAGGTAGCATTTGGATTTTCTAAAAAATAAATGCTGAACAACTGCCAAGTTGGGCCAAGGCTACTAAAAGTAAGAGTAGTAAAGGTGCAATAAAAAAGTACCGCCTGTAATTAACAGGCATAGGTAAACTAAACTACAAAACAACATGCAAACCGCCCCTTCAAGAGCGATCACAGCAGAAGCAGACGACGTAAACTGCATCCTGTATTAAACAACGTAGTAACATTATACTTTACCGGCAGCTGCCTCGAGTTTCAATGTCCCCCTATAATATTTCTCTTTTCAGTTTCAATAAACAAACCGGAAGTTTTGAAGACATTGTTTTGGTGCATAGTCTCCCTTGTAAACTAGAAATAAAGTAATTGCCAGGAGGTATTTCAGGAGGCAATAGTGGCATTTTTCAAAACATTCCAGCCACTAGCATGATTCCATTGCTCTAGGAAAAGACCTTAAGAAAATTGCAGTTAATTGCAAATTAGTTGCCCTAACGACCTAGTAAGACATTAATAATGTATATGTGATGGGCTGGAAGAATATGTTTCACTGATACATTTTAGCTCTTGCTATTCTATCCATGGAGAAAAGGTGGGGTGGGGCAGAGGTGCAAGACCAAGCCCCGGTTTCGTATTCTTCTACTTCTTTTCCTCAGTGGAATAGAGGCGCCCAACCAGCTGGTGTCAGGTCGTCTCTCCACTTCCCTGTACCATGCAACTATCCCTTTGTTTTTTCATATCAAACTCACCCACATGCAATTGAATATCACTGTGTGTTAGCCAACCATTTTCTGTACTCTGATGCCTAATTTTCTTTAGATTTGTTGGTACAATGACATTCTATTGTCTATCAACATATTATCTGTTTTTTTTTTTTTTTTAAATTATATATATTAAAGTTTCAAGGACTGCCAGTCAAAACATGTTAATCTTCAATTCATAAATCCCTTTACTTTTTTTTCCTGTATACTATAAAAAATGCGGAATAGAAAGTAGTAAAGTACAATTTACTACAAAAAAAGCGTAAAAGGAAATAGTAAAGTACGTAATAATGTTACACTGATTTCATCATAAATGCCCAAAAAAATCAGGTCGCAAGTCTGATCGAGGTCGGTCTAGGGCTGCCAATGATGGGTTTCACCCCCAGATCTGGGTTTTTATTTGACGCCTTGGGTTCAGATTTTGAAATCATTTTTTTTCCACCGCTGGATACTCGAGGATATCAGGTTTCTTTACTTGTTGCCTCGTTGGTTACACTGGCTGTGGTAGAAACAACAGGCGGGCTGGAGTTTGTAGCTATCCTTGCAGCATCATCAGTGATTCCTGGGGTGGTGTCTATTCAAAGGTGGAGCCTTTTAATAAATCAACTGTGTATTTAACTTCAGGAAGAGTCAAGGTCTTCAGAGTGCAGCAGATGTTTAAGACTGCAGAAAGTTTCCTAACGTCCATGGGATTTAGCAAAATGTTGCCTTCTTTCTGGGAGAAGTCCGGGTAGATAGAACCCGTTAGCTTGATTTTTGATTTTGATGTCATCATGCTCCAGGAGCTAAATACAGACATATATCATTGCCCGGGGTACGTTAGTTATATAAACCCTGTTGGACAGGAGAGACATGGACAAGGTCTAGTGGTAAAGGAGGGAGTGAAGCATGTGGTGCTTGACTTGAGCCAGTGGAACCACAGTGGACGAGAGGTTCAAGGGATACAGGTGGAAATTGGTGGCTTAAGTTGGAACCTCATAAATATATATGCCACTGTAGACTGTTTTGTCAGAAGTGAACAATGGAGCTGGCTCAAGGAGTTGGAGGAGTTACCAGGTGATAGGTTACTCATATGTGGGGATTTCAACGCGAGTAACAGAGAATGGAACAGCAGTGGAGAAAACCGACAGGGAATTGCTCTTGCAGAGACCATGGTTGACTCCTATATGGTCTGCATCAATGTTGGGAGGCCGACTAGAATGGCAATGAGGTCTGGAGATGCAGACACAGCCATTGACTTGACATTTGTCCTCAGTCGTCGGTTTTAGATGTTAAATGGACTGTCCTGAATGACCATGGGAGTGATCACCTACCATGTTCAGTCTTTCTAAACTCAGTAAGGTTAAGGTTGGAAGAGCACGCAAGACCTTCCAGTATAAGTGGACTAACAACCTACTTGGACGCCTCAGACGGGGAGCATGCAAAAGAACTGCCAGAACTAATTTTCTACAGCCCCCGTGGTGGACTCCAGAGGTCGAACAGGCAAGGAAGGCAAAGAAAGCCACGGTGAAGCAGCTAAAGAAAGTACGACAGACACCCTCAAGCTCACGTGAGGAAGTGGAGATGACGGAGAATGTGAAGAAAGATAAGGTGGAGGTTTTCAAGCGCTGTGCTGCAGAGGCCAAAAGAGCAAAGTGGGAGGCGATAAAACATTGGGGAAATTCTGGAAACTGCAAAGGCAGATGCAAAGAAAAGATCGACCTCTGACAGTCGGAACAATTTGTAGAGACGATGGTGTGCGTGTGACAACAGACAAGGAGAAAGGGGAGGCTTTTCTCCATAGGTTGATAGCTCAGACAGATCATAATGATGTAGACATCAGGGGTGCAGTTAGAAAGGAGTTAGCTGGCACCTTGAAGAATATTCATTATGAAGACATGATACAAGTGAAAGATATTAAACAAATTTTGAAAAAAGCAAAAGACACTGCACCAGGGCCTGATGGTGTCAGGTATGGTCACAAGAAGGCTTTGAGCGATGTAGACCTGTTTTAACCAGAGTATTAAGACAGCATCAGTACCGCAAGACTGGGTGCACAGTTATCTAATCCCCCTACCAAAATCTTTTAAAGATCATTCTAAGCTTAGTGGCTTTAGAATCACCACCTTACAAAACACATTTGGGAAGGTCTTGGAGAAGATAGTTGCTGTAAAGTTACAAGAAATTTTGGAAAGGGGGAAGCTTCTCCCAAGAGGTCTGGGAAGTTACAGTCCAGGAAAGGACACTTGGGCAAATGCGGTCACTTTTGCCTTTGACGTCTATGAAGGGTTCCAGAACAGACAGGAAACTATGACGGTAGGACTGGATCTCGAGGATGCTTACAACAGAGTGAGATACGACATCTTAATGACTGTATTGAGGGAGAAGGAGGTCAATCCATGGCTGGTGAATTGGGTTGCAGCTGTCCTGTATTCACGTCGGGGTGCTCTCCGACTGGACTCATGGACCTCAGAACCATGCAGTTTTGCCCTAGGACTGCCACGGGGATCCGCCATCTCGCCTGTGTTCTTCAACGTGTATACGAGCAAGATTGCAAGCCTAGAAGCACCAGGAGTTGGAAGGATCCTGACTTTTGCGGATGATATACTTGCATATAGGCAGGGGGAAGAGAGGGAACAATCAGCTCGGGAGCTACAAGCGACAGTAGACAAAGTGACTCATTGGTGTACAGAAATGAAGGCTGTCGTCCACCCGGAAAAGGCGTCTGTTTTGTGGTGTTCTCTAGACAACAGAATCGTTAAAACTAATGTCCCAGGTCTCACGATAGATGGTAGAGACGCCAACAGAGAGAGCAAACTGAAGTATCTGGGAATTACATTTGACAGGAGTCTGTCATTTAAGGACCATGTTGAGAGTGTTGTGACGAGATGCCAAAAAGGACTTAGTGCACTTAAGACTATGGCTGCAATTGACATAGAGCAGAGAATGCTTTTCACACTATATCAGCACCTGATCCTGTCAGTGGTGGATTATGGCCTGGGACTGCTTACCGTCTCAAAGAGTCAGATGGACAAACTAGAGCGCATACAGAACGCGGCTATGCGAGTCATTCTGGGTTTCACCAGAGACACCCCAGTGGTGTGTATGCGATACATCCTTGGTTTGCCGACGGTTGCAGGTAGGCACCAGGTGATGAAGGCGAAGTCATATTTCAGGGTAGCTGCAGACACAGACCACCCTCTGCATGAAGCTCTGGGGGCAGTTACGGGTCAGCGGCTGACAAGAGGGAGGTCATGGATGGCTCAGGCAGAAGACATAATCAGACAGGTTTGCATCCTTGAGAACATTAGGCGAGGAGAGGAGTGGGTCAAAGTGCCACCTGAACAGTCAGACTTGTGTAGAGTCATAATCACGCTGAGCCGGGAATGCAGAGACTGGCCAACAGATGCCACAGAGGTGGAAATTCAGCAATTAATTCAAGATAATGCTCGCTTAGGGGTTTTGATCATTTACACAGACGGTTCAGTGTCAAGAGGCAAAAGAAGTGCTTGGGGCTTTTTAGCAAAAGTTAATGGTCGACGTTTGGTGCAGGAGAGCCTAGCATATGATACCACTAAATCCAGCTTAAGAATAGAGGTGGAGGCGGTCACTGCAGCTTTCCGCTGGCTAGAGAACACGACACACACACACATTGTAATTGTAACTGATTCCGAAAGCATGCTGAGGAAGATCAGAACAGGTATGCTTCGTGCAGAGTGGCATGCTTCGCTGCGGAGGACACGAGTGAGGAGTAATGTCTGGATTTTTTCCCCGGGTCACGCCGGTGTGTTGGGAAATGAACAGACGGACAGACTGGCTGGCTCTGCACAACTTGGTGGAATACTGCTACATGATAGGGCAGACGTGGTTAGTTGTGGGAGAGTGTGTAAAATGCGGAGGAGCAGATGGATCACCAAAGTCTAGTGAGATTGATGCAATGAATTCCAGAGAAATTTGACTAAAAAGCTTAACAAAATGGGAAAGAGGAAAACGTGCACAAAACAACAAGCTAAAAAGCTCAACAAAATGGGAAAGAGGAAAACGTGCACAAAACAACAGTTGTTGTTTTGTGCACGTTTTCCTCTTTCCCATTTTGTTGAGCTTTTTAGTCAAATTTCTCTGGAATTCATTGTATTAGCTTGACTGCAGTCACCCCCATAGTTTCACCATTTTGAGATTGATGCAGTTGGGAGTGACGAGAGGTTCTGGCAGAAGCTCAAGGCTCAGAGGAAAGGCAAGACGGATGTTTAATCAGAAAGCTACTGGCACTATTAGTATCGGAACTCTTCGCTGGCTGCTGAAGATGGGGACGGAGCGCTTATGGGAATGCCCCGAGTGCTGTGATGTCGGTTCTTGAATCAAATCAAATCAAATCTCGTTTTTTTATATATATATCTTATATAAAAGTGGGTAAATGTTTCGTAACTATAAAATTTGTACTTTTTAACAATCTGTGTTTTTTGTTGTTATTAGCTAATGTGTTGCTTGGGTTTTTGTTCAGCTTAGCTGGGTTTTTCAAAAAATCCCGTTGGCAGCCCTGGGTCGGTCATCAAACATTCTCAGCTTTTGGTCCGACATGGAAGATTACGCACGTGAACCATGGTGAGTCTTCTCGGCTACTTAATTTTTCCTTCAGGCAACATTTAAGTTTGAAATGTTGAATAGAATTATTAATAATATTACAATACATTTTTTAATTAAACAAGACTTCTAGTTAGTTACAGTCATTTCAACAAACTCTTTCACGGTGATATTTCGGAGAATCACACTCACACTGGGACTGGAAAGTTTTAAAAAGTAAACAAAGTTTAATTTAAACTTTAAAAGCAAACAAAACTTCTCGGCTTCTTAATTCTTTCTTTAGGCAACATTTTAGTTTGAAATGTTGAATAGAATTACATTACATTTTTTAATTCAACAGACTTCTAGTTAGTTACATTTCACTAAACTCTTTCACGGTGACATTTCGGAGAATCACTGGGACTGGAAAGTTTAAAAAGTAAACAAACAAAACAATGCAACAATTGGGTTACAGTTATGTGTAAAGTAAAGGACCCCTTTCCACACCTCCAGTCCAGGCACATGGAGCTATTTTGAAGCCCCACCCTCGCTGCCAGGGGCGGCAATATAGCCTGAAGTTGAACACGGTTTCCGGGACCTCTCCACAGGTGTGATGTCCTGGTGGGGTAAAACGTACTCTATTTCTATCACTGTTTACACATATTCTCCTCAGAACTTTCAGAATAAGGAAAGCATGAGAGCCCTCAATTAAATCAAATATGTAAATTTGCCAGTTAACTTCTTATTCTTAAATATAATCTCTTACTAAATTAGGCTGTCCTCTGACTAACGGTCGGCAAAGATGGCGGCCGCAAAATATCCTTTCGAGCCACAATCGCGTGACCTAATTTGCGGTTCTCTTGTGGTTTTCCGGCGACTATCGCCACCGCCACATGTCCCCCATGCGGCGTGGAATGGGGCTAAACTAGATGGCTAGGACCCACGAGCGGCAGCCGCGGTGTGCTCTTGACCGCTAGTGCGCAACTGACACGCGACCGTGGCTCGAAAGGATATTTTGTGGCCACCATCTTTGCCGACCGTTAGTCGTAGGATAGCCCTAAATTACTACTAATTATGACACTATGAGGTCTGCGATGGTTGGGACATATTCTTTTATAATATAGAAAAAATGGCAGTTAAAATAGAGACAACAAATGTGCACCACAAAGAGTTGAGACAGTAGATAGTAATAATATATCACCAGGCAGACCATGAAAACAATGGTGAGATAATATACAGGCAGACCTACAGACACCTTTTGGAGAGAGAAGTCCAGTCACAGAGATAAAACGAGCCGGGTGATGTCTCAAATTTGCTGCAGTGAACTTGGTTCACACGCATCTCCTAAATTCTTCTTGGGTCCCATTATGTAGACGGTTTCATCTTTTCCACAGAGAGCTGTAATTTACAGCTAGTGAACATGAAGAAGAGAAGAAGAAAATATGACTTTTTAATTTTTTTAAGTTGTATTTTATATTTAACCCCAATTGGTTGGAAAATTGGCTCTCCTCCGAATTTCATCCCCATATTATGGTGGCTAAACAAATGCCCTAACAGGGCTATATTCGTGGTGTAAAATGCGGAGTGCTTGCCGAGGAACAAATCGCGGCAAAACTAGCATTGCCTGTGAATAACGGGCCAATATTATCGAGGGCAAACAAATAACTCTAACAGGGTCTTAGCGATGTGTCAATTGCGGACCTGTTTCTGCGACTATGCCGCACCACTGACAGTATCTTCTGCGCTGCTACGCACGGTGCGGATGGGGGGCTACACTAGGTGGCTGGGACTCACGAGCAAATAAATTGGAGAAAGTTGCAGGAGATGCAGTAGTTGCTGCTCGTGAGTCCCAGCCATCTAGTTTAGCCCCCCCTCCCCCATCCACCCTGTGCGTAGCAGTGCGGTATACGCTCCACGGTAAGTTTAATCAGAAGAACACTATAGCTAAACTGCATCAGAGCACGTGGTCTCCCCGCCATGTCGCTATTATCATGTCTTTTGTTGCATTTCTCGAAATTGTCAACGGACAGTAATCCTAGTTTTGCCGCGATGTGTTCGTCGGGGGAAGTCTGCATTTTACACACGACTGAGGCCCTGTTAAGATATTTGTTTGGCCGCCATAATATGGGGACAAAGTTTGGAGGAGAGCCGAAAATTTGCCAGTAATTAGGTTGGAATGTGGATAATTGTGTTCACAAACTACTACAGAAACCACCATGTCACCTTTTTGCTTAGATCTTATCTAACATTTTCTACGCAGTTATTGCCTAAAGTAATAAGTGTTTGGGTATGAAGGGATTAAATAACAACACTATATAGTAGTACAGTAGTAATTATTCAGAAATATCCTGTTCAACCCTCAGGGTTTTAAAGTGTTTATTGAATTCTCAGAATATATATATTTTCTAATATTGTGCAGTTATTAGGACAAATATGCAATTTAGATTGTTTCAAATATTGCTTTGATTTGGGTTGTAAAAATTGTACTGTGAATATTTAGAAAATCTTACTAACATTGTTTCATTAAAGTGTTGAATTAATTATGCCCTTATGTAATAGTTGATCATCCTCACTGAGTTTATCTTTATGATAGACTTCTCCAAGAATGGTCTGGAAATTCTTTGCCCTTCTGTATACAGTTTTTAGTTCTAGTAATACCATGACTTTGGTCTACAACTTGGTATCAGTGAGACTACAAAAGAAAGAAGAAGAAGAAAGTTCTAGTAATAAACAGCTTTACCTTGCCACATAGGTCTCTGGGGTACAATGAGCTGGAGTAACAGCTGCGATTGAATGATTTAAAGCTAAAGATGAATGAGATACAAGTAGCTCTAAGAGATATAGTATGCCAGACAGCACCAATAAATGCTCTGTGAGTTGCTTGGTAACAGGCAGAGTTAAGTTTCAACAGATTTAAACTAACATACAGTGTTATTCCAAATAGTGGATGCACTTTCATTCATGTATATTTTCTTGAATATACGTGTACAGGTCGGAGGAGAAGATGGATCACCAGTCTGGTGAGAGTTATGCAGCGGGGAGTGACAAGGGGTTCAGGGCTCTAAGGACGTTTAATCAGAATGATACTTGCACCATTAGTATTGGAACTCTGTGCTGGCTGCTGAAGATGGGGATGGAGTGCTCCTGGGAATGCGCTGAGTGCTGTGATGTCGGTTCTTGAATCAACTCAACTAAAGGTTATAAGTGTTCATTATGGCCACCATCTTCTGCTTGGCAAACATTTAACCAGTAGCCAAACTCATCCTACAAGAAGCATCTCTTCAGTAACTGAGTTCACTGCAGCCGTGCACTCGAGTGGCTGGTTATGCCGCTGTGCTCTAGGGATGGTATTTGAAACTTTAGACCTTTCCCTTTCTCTTATTTGTGTATTATTCATATTCAGGGTATATTCAAGTAAATATACATGAATGAAGGTGTATAGATCATTTTGAAAAACCTTTACTTTTTTTCCCGTTTAATCACAGCCCATGGAGGATCATGGAAGACTGCGGGGGTGCGTTCTCCATGGGAGCCATTGGAGGATCCCTCTTCCATGGCATCAAGGGATATAGGAATGCACCTAGTGTAAGCATTTTTGGTTTCCAAATTGGTTATGTCCCACTGTTTAACCCGCTGACTACCAAGCCTGCTAACTCTTGCATTTTAAAGTGTATTAAAAATACCATAGCTTCTCAACTGTTTAACAAGCACTTATCATATTTTGTATTTTTTTTTTTTTTTGCACCAAATAAAATGGAGAGCAAATTTCAAGAAAAAGATATATTTATTGTTTTACATCATTCACACTAAAATTTAACAATGATGCTGTTCACTGCTCTGGCGCTCCGACCTTCTTGGGAGTCAAGCTTGACAGTCGTCTGACATGGAAATATCACATACTGGAAACTAACAAAAAGGCCATGAGAAAACAAGGTGTGATGAAGAAATTGGCAGGCACCACTTGGGTAGCTAGCAGTCGCATCATGAAGCAGGTATACATCGGCACAGTCAGACCAACTCTAGAATATGCATCATTGTCATGAATAAGAGCAGGTTCTTTTCTACCACTTATCATACTTTTTTATCATTTAGTGGAGCATAGGCTCTCAGCCAACATATACTAAACTCACCTTATCTTTGCTGTCTGCAGCATACCCTCTCCATGTATTTTGAGGTCTGCTTTTTCTTATGTCTGTGGATTCCAGAAGGATTTTCTAGCTTTTCAAGTTTTCCCAGTTTGTCTTTTCTGTGACACCATCTTCTCTTACTTTGTATGCATGTGTGTGTGTGTGTGTGTGTTTTTAACTGAGATTTGTTTAGCACTTTTCCTCAACTCCACCTTATATTCTCTTTACGGCTGTACACAAGCTGAATCTCATGTTTTCAGTGTTTCATATGACATGATGTGCACTTCATGTGCTTGTTTCAATAATCATTATACATTTTCTCCATCCTGTTGCTTTTTAATATAAAATACTTATAGTGGGGACGTTGTGCTGGAAAAAGTAAAAAGACATAGGCATTTAAATATTTTATAACTGATCAATTTATAAGGAAAAAACTCCAGAATTTGCTATGAAATTATGTTTATAGCACTGCACACTGAGAAACATACTGAGGAGGATCTGAGTACTTATGGACTGAATAGTACTATGTGCAGGAAGATAATCTGTAGACTGTACATAAAAAAAAAAATCATATTCTAAATTGCTTGTGGTTTTCCTGTGGTTTTGTATTTTAGATTGAAAATGTTTTATTTTGTGGATTCTCTTACAGGGCAACTATCGCCGATTAATTAGCAGTTTTGTCACATTAAAAGAAAGGGCGCCAGTTGTTGGAGGTAAAACAGCTTTTCTACAAAGAATTTTATTGCACTTAACTCTTTAAATGCCCTCTGCTTTAACTTTAAAATTCCGTGTACCAGAACTCCTGGTAGGAAAAACTAAAATTTTGCATCTTCCATCACTAAATAAAATCTCAGTCAACGGTGATTGATAATACCTCAAGTATGTAATTTTAGCATGCTTGATTGCTTCCGTGAAAGTTTCTTTTTTTTCCTCCAGAATGTGTTATAAGAAATTGTCCATCAATTAAAAAATGTAAATTAAAGATTTTTAAATTCATTACTTGTCCAAAATTCATTGCTCTTCTGACATTCATTACTTTTTCAAGCAAGGGAATATCAGTTTCCTCTGTAAACATTACTTTTGAATTCTGGTTAAATTCTCCAAAGAATGAAGATTCTGTTCATTGTCTGTCTATTCTTTTGTCTGTCCAACTGCAAACTTTCGGCAGACAGTATCATTTGCTGTTTTGGGTAATTCTAGAAAGGTTACAAAACAAGAAATAGTTATGAGGAAAGTTCACTGCAGTTGGAATAAAGTTCCGGTCAATGTGGCAATGAATTGATGGGTCTCTATTAATGTAAACTGCTAGTCTTACGCAAACCAAGTGCTGAAGCACCCAGTAACAACCATAAAGTGTTCAGTGAAGGGGAGAAAACTCTAGCATACCTGACCATGCAATCCACAAGCATGTAGCTCCTCACACCCATTAGATATCAGCTGCACACAGTCACTGAGAGATTTATCAGACTTACAATTTAACAGATTAACCTGAACACTTGCAGGATCTGAAGAACTTTTTATGAAGTAAACCGATGGGTTTTGCCACCCATGACTAATACTAGATTCATGCATTTTGAAACAGAAACGAGAAATGAGTTCAAAGCTGTATCAGAGATTGCATTCAGTTTTTGTTACAGGATGCTGGCATCTTATTTTACAGCTATCACTCGGTGAAAGCCAAAATTGTGATTGGTCTAAATTTCAAGCTTCTGTTAGCATAATACATATAATTCCCAAAGCCCCAAAGGGATTATTGTGTGTAGAAAAAGGTCTGCTCATATCAGCAGCCAGTGAATTCCAGTGCTGATGGTATCGGCAGTATTTGAAATATAGATGACGAAGCGCTTATGAGAATATCCTAAGGACTGCGATGTTAGCTCTTAACTCGGGCTTATATCAGTGTACTCTGCTAAAAAGTTAGTTGCATTTCCTTTACAGGACAGTGGAGAACCAACCCCAGCATTTTTTGGCTATTGTGGTTTTTTTCTAGGCAAGTTAATGTCCAATAGTTTGCCATTGCTTTCTGGGTGGTCGGCTTCTCGATTCCACTGTCGAAACCAGCGCAAGTCCCTCTGCTGAGATTGACCCCAGTATTACGACGCGCTTTCGCAGCACCTAAGCCACAGCAATTTTCACCCTGTTTAACTTTGCTTTTACCATATGACAAAAATGACCTTGGCTCCCAGGTCGACGCAGCGTTGAGTGGGTACCAGGTGCAGTCCTGGGAAGTAAAGGTGGCAGGCATGATGCTGACCACATCACCTCCTGAGTGTCGATTTGTCTATTAAATTTAGGTCTTGCCCTATATGCCCAATATGCCTAAAGGCGTGGAGAAGGTTCCTTTACTTTTACTTACCCCCAGAGTTGACAAGCATGCAGTAGAAGGTGATAACTAGGGGTATATTGGGCAGAAAAGCACATGTATAGCAGCTTAGCTGTGAACCACAACACAACATGCTAACTGCCATTTTGAGGGCAAACACGAACAAAGAAGAAGATGAAGGAGGAGGAGGACAGTCACACTTAACAGACATCATTTGCTTGGATAAGGCTGGTGACGACACATTATAATCAACTGTATCAAAGGAACAGACAATACTCTGTGGTCTGTGGTGAGATTATTGACATGGGTGAACATTGCAAAACAGTTCAATTGACATCGTAGCACTCAGGACACTCCCATAAGCGATCAGTCTCCCCATCTTTAGCAGCAAGCTAAGTGTTCCAATTGCGATGGTATCAGTAACTGTCTGATTGTATATCTGTCTCACCTTTCCCCTGAATGTTGAGCGTCGGCCAAATCACTTGGTAACTCCCAGCAGCGCCATTCTCCTCAATCCATAGTGATCTCTCTGTGCCTCTGCATTGTTCACTGGCTCCCAAAGGGAAAACAGTCAAATATAATTGAGTCAAGAACCAGCATTGCAGCACTTGCAACATTTACATAAGCGCTCCATTCCCATCTTCAGCAGCCAGCAGTAGCAGTTTGATTATATGTCCACCTTGCCTTTTCTGTTGAGTGTAGAGTGTTGGTCAGATCCACTGCTCTGCACCATTTTCTCCAGGCCTTAATGATCTATTGTTTTGCAGAATGTTTAATAACTTTTACAATTCGGTTGTAAGATGCAGGATTCTTTCTATGATGTGTAGGAAACTTTGCAGTATGGGGAGGCTTGTTTTCGGCTATAGATTGCACAATGGTGTACTTGAGAAAGAAAGAGGATCCTTGGAATTCTATCACAAGTGGTGCTCTGACAGGGGCAATTCTTTCAGTACGAAGTAAGTCTCCCTGGCTGTTGAGTTTTCCTTGTAGCTGACTTTTGTGTTGCTGTTGTAATTGTCACAGCTATTGCTGCAGTTAAAGTGGGAATCTGGAAAATATTTGTTTGGTCATAGTTTGCATGTCAGTTTTACCTCATTATAATATGTAAATGAAGCTGTGGTGATACAGCAGTTATAAGCTCGCCTCTACCCAGAGGTCTTTGATTAAATCCACATTGAGTCAGATTGTTCTCCAAAAAAATGATCTCAGGTCGAACCAACCTAACATGGATGGATACCAAATAAAGTCAAGGAAACCTACAAAGTGCCATTTAGTCTACAAAAATATGATGCACCACTGGCATACAAAGGCTCTGTTTAAAGAAAAATTTTTATGTGCATGCAATATAATTAGGTCGACCCAGCCTCAAAATGGATACCAGATAAAGTCCTGGGACGTAAAGCTGGCTGGTATGATGCTGACCACATTGCCCACTAAGTGATGATTGGTCTATAAACTGTAGGTTTAGCACTATATGCCCAATACACCTGTAGGTGTAGAAAAGGGTCCTTTACTTTACATACATTAAAGGGTAATACGGTAGTCCCATCATAGTTACTGCTTTTGGGGGCGTTAATTGTGTGACTTTCATGTGTACTATTTGAAAACAAATTGCCTGAGGAAAATAGTGAATGTAAAAAAGGATGAATTCAAGAGGAGTCAAGAAGTGTAAGGGCAACCACTGGCATCAACAGTTATAGGACAGAGAAGATGGCACTATATAAGACACATTCTGAAACAGGACTGCAGTCCAGAAAGGAACGAACAAACAAATTTTCTCTGGAGTTTACAGCCAGTGAAGAAGAAGAAGAAAGGCCATGAAATACAAGATGAGGTCAGCCAGTTTTCTTCCTCATCTTCTTTCCTTCTCAGACATTTGTCATAAAATTCAGAAGATTATCCTTCTTCTGCTACTTCTTCCTCTTTTGTCCTACTGCTTGTGCCGTAAACATTGCAGAGAAGAGTTTATGTAGTTTCCTATCTTCTCCTCGTTGCATAATTTGAACATTATCTTATGCCCATTTTTATGATGCTTGGTCAACTCCCAAGCCGTTAGGGTGGAAAAAATATTTCTGCCTCCTTTTAGGAAATTGAACCCCGTCCGCTGTCTTGAGGGGCAGTCACACTGACAACTATGTAACTGCAGCTCATTTACCTTCACTGGGTCACCATATTAATCATGCTCTATCTTCCGATACAGCAGCAGTATCTCTAGGCTCAGCGTACCCATTAGAAGTTTATGATACAAATATATAAAGAAAATCCTTCAGTCAACAGTGGCCATAAAACAAATAATGCTCTAAGCCAGCGGTTCTCAACCTGTGGGTCCTGACCTTTTTGTGTGTCGAATGACCCTTTCACAGGGGTCGCCTAAGACCATCGGAAAACACATATTCGGTGAAGTTTTGAAGTAGCAACGCAAATAATTTATGGTAGGGGGGTCACCACAACAGGAGGAACTGTATTCAAGGTCACAGCATTAGGAAGGTTGAGAACCACTGCTCTGAGGCAATGATGGTCCATAAGTCTTGACATATTTGTGATAACACTACAAGGCTGAATAGTTAAGTCAACAACACACCCTTCCTCCAACAAGTAACACCATGTTCAAGGATTTGACAGTTTTGCCACATATATAGGAAGTCGGTTGGTTGCCTACTTCATAATAGGACTGATCTATTGATATTGACAGACTCAGTGAGCATGCTTAAGATCCAGATTGTCAAACTCATAGGACTATAATAGGTTGACAGCCTCCAGAAGTCCAGCCTCAAGAAACTATCTTGTTTGTACTCACCAGGATATACAAGGGTGAAAGGAAATGAAAGAGCTGACAGGCAGTGTCCGAAGTGCTTATTGGGGGAAGAAATATGGACAGGGCAGACATACTGAATGCGCATTCTAAAGACCAAGGGAGTCGGATACCATGAAACGCCTGTTAGAAGTAGACAGGCATGCAGAAACTGGTTGTGGGACAAAGAAAGAAGATTTGCTGGGTTCATTGAACACATTTATGGCCACTGTTTACTGATAGATTTTATTTGTTTATTTTTATATATGAACTGTTCCGTCAACTAGCTTCTTAAGGCTGTGGATTTTTTTCCTATGAAAAAGGCTTTTTATCTGAGCCATGAGTGGTTTATGGTGTGAACTGCATATATAGAAAATGGCGAGGGTGTTGTACACTTTGTTGTAGTACACTGTAATTACAAGAACCAAGTATTTAGGCCTAGGGTGCCTATTCAAGTGTTCCGCTGGATATCTCCCTGATAGATGTGCTACAGTGAAGTCCTGCATACTATAACTGGCCCATTTGGCCCAGCATCATGTAATACAGTTGCTATCTTTACAAGCCAACAATAACGCTTGTAACAGGCCACATAAACTTTAATGGCATTAAAGTTACACGTCACAAGATGATGATGATTATTCAATAAAACGTACGATAATAACTCTCTATTATCTACTCTGAGGATATAAAAGAATTACACTCTTTCTCAATGGACTCCTGCCATTATAATTAATAAAATAGACATTAAACTGTCTTCCGTAAGTACGGTTAATCAAAACCTCACAAAGAAGGAACGTCCTATTTGGACAAGGAAAATATCTTGACTGCCGAATCCTTTGTGTTCTGCAGGAGCCTTTGTGTTAATCGCCCAGCATTCAATTAGCTGGTATCCCAGGTAACAACCCGACCCGTGGCCGCTGTGTGAACTTTTCACCTGTCCTGTGACCACTAGAAGAAACTTTAACTCTTGGACAATAAGATTACAACAGAGGGGCAGTTTCTAAAAACTGGCAGTATGCCTTATGTCTGACTTGGTTTGTCAGGACTGCTGCTTTCTGTGATGGTGGGCTACCATTCTAGTGGTGGAGTGTTTGGTTGGCACCTTTGGGAGCTGCCTTGTGTATTTAATGTGTATGCAAGCCATGAGTTTGCCAAGACTGCTGTCTATCCAGATTTTAAAATGAGAATGATATACATTTTGTGCAGTTTTCACTGAAAGAAGAGGAGAAATTTTTGAATGTTGAATTAAAATCGACATCACAGCACTTGAGGTATTCTCATAAGCGTCCCATCCCTATCTTTAGCAGCAAGTGCAGAGTTCCAATTTCAATGCCACCAGTATCAGTCTGCTTGTATAACCATCTCACCTTTCCCTTGAATTCTGAGCGTCAGCTAGATCCCCTGGTAACTCCTTGCAGCACCATTCTCCTCAGTCCGTTATGATCTGTTTGCGCCTCCCCACTGTTCACTCGCTGCTGAAGATGCCTCATAACATCTAGCTTGTCATCCACCAGTTCACCATCAAGTGGTGCAGATCTAGCTACCCAGTCTGGCTGTGAGGCTGGAACTGCGACCACCGACTACAAATATTACAAACTGTGTTAGAGTTTTACCGGCACTGTTGTTCACTTACCTTTCCATATTGCACTGATTTGATTTTATTTTTCTTATGATTGTTATTTAATTATGTACACGTGGCGTCTGTTTTAAAATGTAAAGATTTGGGTTGACTGAGGAGAGTTGTGATGTTAATTTATCATGTTTATTTTGCTCTTTTGCTCTGCTGGTCAGTCTCTGTTTTGCTGTTTAGTAAAGTAATACAGTACATTAGCAAATCTTAGATTAAGAAAAGACTTGTTTTTCACTTTTTGGTTTAACAGCATTTTTCTTCTTTATTTTTCAGATGGTACAGGAGCAATTATTGGCTCAGCCATCATTGGTGAGGTTTTACTCATTTCTTCTTTATTTTTCAGATGGTACAGGAGCAATTATTGGCTCAGCCATCATTGGTGAGGTTTTACTCATTTTTTTTTTGAGTCAATTGTTTAGATAGCTATAATGGTATACTTTTCTAATTTCATTGGCCATATCCAGAAAGTCTTTTTTTAAAAATCATTGTGTCTGTCCAGGGTATCTGCTGCATGCATCTCATATCATGGCCTCCAAGTTATTCCTAATTTGCTCATTCACATTCCAAGATTCACAGCCTTACAGCAGCACTGGTTCGACATAGCATTTCAGTACTCCTTTTCTTTTTCTTGTTCACCAGATGTAAACTCAGGCACAAAGTTCTGGTTGTTCGTCCACTTCTGGACTCTAGTCAGGTTCCAGAACCTGAGTATTGAGTGCACATCCGTTTTACAGTTTTGGCTATTGGAAATAGAAGTTGGTTCCTTGCCTCTCAGGCAGATGCACTCTGACTTTGAAGGAAGCTCCCAGTTAGTCAGTTCCTACGACATGCTTTTGGGTAGGCAGTGGGTCTGTTCTTGTTTTTACCATAATGGGGGCCAGGGAACCCACACAAGGAATTTCAGTACTCTTTTTCTTATGTTTAATGAGAGAGATGCAAAGCATTTTATATATATAGATATATAGGACTCCTTTTTTTAAAATAACTATTTCAGTGAAAGATTCTGTAATTTATTAGTAAGAAACATTGCGGCGTCCGTGGCTAAGGCGTTGCGAGTCCGACCCGTAAGCCAGCATACCGCGATCAAAACCCACTGCAGGCTGCGTGGATTTTTTTCGTGGTATGGGACGTCGCTATTCGACCCAGCCTAAAATGGGTACCAGGATGGGCTGTCCTGGGAAAGTAAAGACAGCCGGCGTAATGCTGACTACATTACCCACAGAGTGCTGATGGTCTGTAAAAATATGGGACGCTCTGCCTATATGCCCGATGCGCCAAAAGGCGTAAAAAGGGAACTTTTAAGAAACATTGTACATTTCATATTTGATTGGGTTATTTATGATTAATTTTTTTCAGGTGGTGTCTTGCTTGCATTAATTGAAGGTTTCGGTATACTCTTTACAAGGTTTACAGCAGAGCAGTTTAATCCAGGTAAGGCAAATAGATGTCTTCTCTGTGTTTGTTGTTTATGTTTCTGTTGTTGTTTTTTTTTTCTTTTTTTGTATGAATACACAGTCTTAACTTGGTTGAAAAAAGAGTGCTGTTTAGTGAGGGTTTTAAACCTCAGACATGTGTGTCAGTGTGTTACTGTACATTGACACCTTCCTATCTTTCCAGATGATAGTATTATGTTTTTTGTTGTTGTTGTAAAGAGGCATGGTAATGACAGTCAGTTAAGACCAGGGGTAAAGTTCCTCCTCTCCACAGTACAAAGCCTAGGCAGCAGTGTAAGAAGAGATCATGTGTTGTCCATGAAACATGATCCCTCTCTCAGCCTGCTTTGTTAGCTTTAGAGAAAAGGTAGCACCAATGTATTTGGAATAAATGTTGAATTGAGAATCGACATCACAGCACTCGGGACAACCCCCATAAGCGTTCCATCCCCATCTTCAGCAGCTAGCAAGGAGTTAAAATTTTGATAGTACCGGTAACTGTCTGATTGTATATCCGTCTCGCCTTTTTCTTAAGTGTTGAGCGTCGGCCAGATGCCATTGTAACTCCTCGCAGTTATATGGAATAAATCATGCAGCAGAAGCTGCCAGATCAGAAGAGCATTTCTCTGTCTCTGTGTATCGGAGCTTCCCTCCTAGATCATCTGCCAGTCAAGTTGCCACTCTACTACATAGTTAGCATAATTAGCTGGTGAAAACACTAAATTCAGTTTAAGCACATGAAATGCTGTCTGCATGAAGGCTTAGCTCTTTCAGTGAAAAGTAACATGTGATGTATGTATTGACTCTTTTTGAATCATGGAAATTCAACATTCCTGGACATTGTGCAGTTTTTTCCTCTAACATTTTACCTGTGATTAAAGCATACAACAGAATTGGGCTTTTTCAATAGCTACTTGATTTGTGCACTAAGCTTCTTTGAAAGTCACCCTCTGCATTTTTTTTTTAAACAGTGATAGTGACATTTAGCTTTTTGGGGATCTGCTGTGAAAAATCAGGAGGTAATAAAAGAGTTTGAATAAATTCTGCAAATGTACTTAAATGCTGTCTGTGAGTGTACTTACCTTTAGCGCCTTGCTTCTCTGTGACCTTCGTCTGAAAGGAATTAAGTTTCATTTTTTTTGCCAGGACAATCTAGGGGTAAGAGGGAATGAATGAGCAGATTGGTTTGCTGGCAGGGCCACGGTAGGCACTGGAAAAGCTGTGGGCCGGGTTAACATTCTTAATCCTCTCAAGGAAGCAGGACAAGAAGATGATTCAGTAGACGACATTAAGTCAGCAATGATCAGAACTTTCAGAATTTCAGGTCAAAAGAGGTATTGCCAAACACGAGCACTTCACAGGTAGCCAAAGAAGAATAGTAAACCAACACAAAACTGGTGTTATCAGTTGCAGCATGCCGAGGTATATACCAAAGATGAGATCCGAGCACTTATGGACTTGTCTGATGTGTAGTCAAGATAATCTGTTGACTAACTAACTAGATCAACTACTCCGTAACCTCTGTTGTGTTATTTTCCAGCAAACCGGATGATGATGGAGGAAGATCCTGCTTTGGCAGGTCAACAGTACCCCACAGTTGGCTCTATAGGATCTCAAGAAGGCAGTTCTATATTTGGCTCTCAGCATTCATACCAGTAAAAGTAGCTAACACCAGGTGGCCTTTAGCATGTCTGCAGTGATCATAGCTCTTGGTTTGTACATAGACCTGCCTTATTAATGTTTGTGTGTGTATGTTCTTGATTTTAGGTATACATGAGTGGTTCTTTAAAGTAAATGCAGGGTGTTTCCAGCTGAACATTGTTATTATAAGATGCTGCAGGGTGAATATGTGATGTTTTTAACACAGCATTAACCTTTTTGCTTGGAAAATTATTTTTATTATTTTTTCTTAATTTGTAAAAAAGGGGGTTGGGGGCATGAACTTGGAAACTGCCTCCCCCCCCCCCCCCCAAAAAAAAAAACAATTAACAACCACTCAACAACTTTTATTAAAATGCATTTTAAAAAGGTTCAGAATATATGAAGGAAAGTCATCAGTAAACATGGAGATTGAAGAATTAACTGGCTTTCCTTTACCTGGGCCTAAGAAAATGTTTTGGGTGACGTATACCAGGACCTCGTCAGAATTCTAAGACTAAAGTTACAGGCAAATTGTGACATCAAAATAGCCATTTTATTACAAGAAAATCTTTCCTAAATTCTATTTTTTAGTAAATATATTAATATCCTGACCTTTTAAATGCCTCTAACAACTAATGGCGTTAAAACTAAGCTTCTTGGAAACACTCTAGAAATACTCAATAAGCGGCATTTGCAGGATTGAACCACTGCCAAATGTACCAGGTTTGCAGTTCCTCGGGGCAGTAAAGTAAATTATTTTTTATTTTTGTGTGTGTAAATATCTTGAGGTGAGTGAATGGTGTTTCCAGAAAATAATTAATATTGTGTTGTTCTTCAGAGTCAATGTGTGATATTAAACAGACCGTTCCTGTTGTGTTTATTCTTAAAGATAAATGCACTGTTTTTCTAGCAATATTGATTCTTTTTTGTCTTCAAGGTAAATTATTGATTTTTCTAACAGGATTGATAGTTTAGGGTTCTGCTGGATAAATTAAGGGTATTTCTAACAGTATTAATATGTTGTTCACACTTGTCATCGTCAGGGGCTGTGAATCTCATGCCTCTTTATAGCACAAAATAACACTATCGCCTGGAAAGACGGAAAGGTGCCAGCGTGTGTAATGTAATATTTTGTTATGAATTAAAAGTGTCTCTAATAGTGTTGTCAACGTTTTGTAGTTATTCAAGGCAAATTAACTGATTCTCTAACAATATTGATTTTTGGTTATCCTTTATGATAAATTAAGGGTGTTTCTATTTTGTGATTCTTCAAGGTAATTCATGTGTATTTCAAACAGTATGGCTATTTTGTTGGTTCATAAAGTTCAGTTAGAGGGTGTTTCTAACAGAATATTCATATTTTGTCTTTCTTCAAAGTAAATACAGAGCATTTCGAACAGAATATTGGTTCTCTGAAAGCACATAGTTTTAAAAACTGCACACTTTCAAATGTTTAGTTAGTGGGATAAGTCTGAGTTCTGACATCTTTACAGTGGAGGTTTGGTGATGTGAATCCCCGGCAATTTCTTCCCTGAGTCTTTCTTATGTATTCTCCGATGCTGTATACTGACCATCATTTCTAGATGTTGCACATTTACATCTTTGATGGCCAGTAGCTCCTTTGTCTTAAATTTTTTCTGACCATTGTGATGTTCTGCATACTGTTTTGTTGTTTGATGTGACAAAAGAACTGTGTCTGCTTCATTTTGTTTTCTCCAGCAGCATCCTTTACGTACTCAGTTTTCTGTTCAAAACACGCTGTGTAATTTAAAAAAGGATTGCCAGGTTGGATGTCAGCCAAAAGGTGCAAATATCACAGCCATGCTGTAAATTGGCACAAGGCAATTGCATCCTCGGATGGATAATGAAGAAGAAGAAACAGGATTGCCTAAACATTAACTTTAAACTCAGCTTTTCAGATTGGGTTTTCTGCTTGGAACATTCTGTATAGCTTACACAGGATTGCCTAAACATTAACTTTAAACTCAACTTTCCATATTGGGTTTTCTTGTTTCTACAAAGTTTGCTGTTTGAAATACCATGTATAATGTAAGCAGAATTGCCTGTACAGTAGCTTCACACTAACTTGTTTAAATCAAGGTTGTTGTTTGGAACGTCGTGTATATAGTGTAAACCAAGGTTGCGATTTTGAATACCCTGTATAGTGTAAACCAAGGTTGCCATTTGGAATATCCTGTATAGTGTAAACCAAGGTTGCCATTTGGAATATCCTGTATAGTGTAAACCAAGGTTGCCATTTGGAATATCCTGTATAGTGTAAACCAAGGTTGCCTTTGGAACACCATGTATAGTGTAAACCAAGGTTGCAGTTTGGAATATCCTGTATAGTGTAAACCAAGGTTGCCATTTGGAATACCCTGTGTAGTGTAAACCAAGGTTGCCATTTGGAATACCCTGTGTAGTGTAAACCAAGGTTGCCATCTGGACTGTGTATAGTGTAATACCATGTATAGTGTACAAATGATTGCCTGAACATTTACCTTATTTACAAATGATTGCCTGAACATTTACCTTATTTCATTTTGAATTTGACCTTATCATTTGTTGTAAATCAGAAAGCACTAAAAGAATCAGATTCTTGTATTTTAATTTTAGTACATAATAAATGTGCACTAACTTCTTTTGTATTTACTCTCATGAAGTACAAATCCATGATCATCAGAAGCTTGTCTGTCTTTTGCTGCCACTTTCAGTTCCCTCTTGTTTATTGATCTCTGTTTACCTTATTCTTTTACCTCATGCATGTCAGTTCTTTTTTTGTTTTGTTTTTTCTTCAAATTTCCGCTTACCCAAACTAAAGAGTGCCTTTCCGGTTATTGTAAATATAGATTATTTCATCAGGTTTGGGGGGGGGGGGGGGGGGGGGGGGGTTAGTAGCAGCATCTTATAAAGCATCTTATAATTTACAATGAAAAAACATATCACAAAGATAGGATAAAAGGGGGGGGGGGGGGGGGACAGTGTTTAAACACTTTAAAGTGTTTAGAACACCCAGTCTAGAAGGTAAGAACAGTCAGTTTAGTTATCTTTTTATTGTAAAGATAAAAGACAATTAGATCTAGAAATTTATAGAACAGGAATTCTGTTTCTTTCTGTAAGATGTGTTGTAGATGATTTGAGGAGATGGCGAGGAAAAAGGAAGTAGGGGACACGAAAAACGGATTTGCTCAGTTGAGGGCACTTAAAAGAATGATTACAGTTATAGCTGCATATATCTGTGAATAGATGTCCAGAGATCTCTGTGGCAAAGTGTTCAGGCAGTTTGCCTCATGCTCTGAGGGTTGCTGGTTTCAGGGGCTGTTCACAAGTGCAGTTTTTAGGAGGACCCTAGTATTGCATCTGGAGCTACAGAGTTTGTACTTTGTGTGATTGTGGACAGATGGCTAGCTATTTGCAGAGAGAGCGAGAGATTAAAATATGGGATGAAACCCATGCAATGAAGTCAATCCTCTCAACTTTAAATATCAAACCTTATGCCTGCAAATAAAATGGTTTAGTCATGCATAAAGATGAACACAGTAGGCCATTAAGACCTCTAGAACTACTGTTGAACAGATTCACTAATGATAGGTAGGTAGGTCAATAGACAGATAAGTCATTAGCTAGACAGACAGAAGAATTAGAGTTTTTGAACACTGCTAGATATAAAGTTCATACTGAAGCTTAAACGTGTATTTTGAATAATTACCGTTAGCCATAGTTGAGGTTTCAACTTCACTGCAAAATGGGGTTTCCCCGTACTTGCTCCGCAAATCAAATGAAATGTCCCTCACTGTCCTATTTGAAAAACTGGTGAACAGACAATTAGTGCCGGAACAATCCAGAAATATAGGCATGCAATAAATGCATATGGCTGTTGCTAGAGATGCCAAATGCAGTCTGTCGTTGATGGAAGTAGTCGGGGATAAATATCAACAGAATTTAGCAGAGGTAATTATTAGAGGACTTGTATTTGTTGTTCCCTTTCACCAGCTGCCAACCTTTCCCTTCACTGCTGATAAAAACTTATGCAATATTAATGGTTGGCTTTGTCTGCTGCCTATTAATTCAGTTATTAATCATGTGATCTCCAGTAAACGTGACAGACTGTCAGAATAGATGAGTGGCTGGCCAAGTGGTTACATTGTCGTAAGGTGGGGATGTGTTTTTTTTTTGGTTAGGGGGGGGGGAAATTAAACATTCTCACCTGCACAGTCTGTGGCTACAGCACCAGCCATGTGGCCCTAAATCTTAAACAGTCATTACACAGATATATTTATTTAGGCCTTTTATCTGGCGGCAGACGGTGCCGGAGCTTTTTTCTTAAGCACTTCTGTAATAGTTTGTGGCAAGTACCGGCACCTTTTTCTGACCTTTGTGATGAATACCGTCACCGTTCGTTCTAGAAAGAAAAATCCCTGCATCTTTCCTCACTTGTGAGCATGTTAATTTTTTACCCCCACCCTCGTTGTGATAATTCTCCAACCACACTTGGCTTTGCCTATTGAGAATGGCAATGAATTTATTTTGTTTTCTTATATTGTGATTTGTATTTAAATATATATCAAGTATGATAATGTGATCACATAATTCAATTCTGGTATTTGCAGAAAGGATTCGACAATGTATATAATAATAAAAACATTTGTATTGCAGAGTAAATGCAGTGTTGTTTCTCTCGCCCCCTCCCTACGTGTGACTGGCATCAGCAGTGGCTGGTTTTATACACAAGTTTTCTTGTATCCACATTTTGATACATTTTTCTCGTACAAATGATCATTACTTTGTGTTCAGGGTTAAGCTCGGCTGTTGAAGCAGATTTTCATGTAAGGTAATTGTAGTTCAAACCTTAGCAAACGGGTCGTCCCATAGTTGTTACGTTCCTCTGCCAACAAAAATCTCACTGAACGCCTGACGCTGTGCATTGTAAAAAAACCCTGACACACTGCAGTCTCAACAAAGCCAATAGACACTCGCATTTAGTGCATGAGGCATTTGTCAGAAGTGCAAGGCAAACAGTCAAGCAGTAGAAATGTATTTCTTTGTTGATGGAAGTGGCAATGACAACAGATCACTAGTTGCACAAGGCAATTAATTACAATATTCTGGAATGTGTGATGTAATGGAGATGACCATGAGTAAAAAAAAAGTAAGGGACTCTTCTCATGCAAGTGGTGCATCAGCATAATATCGTAAATAAAGTAAAGGACCTTTTCCCTGCATTTAGGTGTATAGGGCATATAGGGCTAGACCTATTTTTTTTTAGACCAACCGGCACTCGGTGGGTCATGTGGTCAACATCACGCCGACCGCCTTTACCTCTCAGAATTTCTCCTGGTACCCATTTAAAGTTGGATCGGCTGGGAGCCAGAGTTATTTGTGAAAAAAAAGTTCAGTTCTACAGGACCCAAACCCATGATCCTCCAGTCCGCATGTGAGCGTCTAGCCACCACACCATGGTGTCTGCCGCATAATATAGGACCGCACCCTATTTGTATCTTGGACTAAGAAGAAGAGAAATACTGACATCTTGAAAGATCTAAACATCAAGGAAGATTGGCTAATAAACAGCATCCTGTCTCAAAAGCTGAAATATTTTGGTAATTTCAAGCACCACGACTGATTGGAAAAAATATTAGTAGAAGGCATGGTACTAGGAAGGAGAGCAGGGGCTGACCAACACATAGATGGGCACAGAATATAAGTGACTCCTTGTATATGAAAGTACACGGTGGGGGGGGGGGGGGGGGAAACAGGTGAGAGACCGAGTTTCTTTCAGGCAGACTGAGATGAGAGCGACGTTCTGCAAAGGACCTTTTACATGATGGTGATGATGACCCTATTTGTATAGACCAGTCGACACTCATTAGGTGACGTGGTTAACATCACACTTGCATGCTTTACTTTTCAGGGCATTTCCGTTGTACTAATTTAGGCTTGGTTGACCAGAGAGCCCAGGGGAAGTACCCCAAAAAAAATGATGTGCTTTATTATTATCCTATCCCAGATGACGTCACAGGACAGTCCAGCATTTTAGAGGATGGTAAGACTGGGTTTCCCGGCTCTCTGGTGCTTTTAATGACCCCAAAACATCTAGAACTGGCCCTAACCCCAACCCACCTATGTCCCAAGAGAGAGTGCAGCCTAGGTCCCACGACTGCATGCAGCCTATCTACCACCCCCTGAAATTTTAGACTGTCCCGTGACCTGTGGATTCCCCTGTCTGGGGTAGGATATTGATAAAGCATCAAAAATTCTTGTGTTGGTGCAGATCTGAACCTAGCATCATCTTGCTGGCATGTATCACTGCTACTACAACTACCAAGGCAAGTTTACTCAACTATTGTCCTGTTGTGAATTACATGTCACTTTAGACTTTTCTTTGTTTCTTCATTGTGTTGTATCCTGTGCATTCATTTGATATCATGGACTGGATCCAGTTCAGCCACTCTGGCTTCTCTCAGCAACATTCACTTTAGAGCTTCTCTTCAACGTCCTTGTTTCCCCAATCCCTTGGTATCCCATTTCAGCGCCTGTTTGATGTTTCTCTGTTGGTCTCTTCTTGGAGTGTCTCCAATATAGCGCCATCATCTCTGTTTTACAACTTGTTATACTGTTGGCTCCCTATTCAAAATATACATCTTTAAACTGAGACCCAAAAAAATGTTGGGACCTTTGAGGCAGTAGACATTGCAGTGAGAACTAAATCTCTCTCTATGAATGATGATTAATAACTGTTAATATATTTCTCACATGTTTTCAGTTGTGAATTTAATTAATGGGATGTTCATTAAAGATGCACATTTTGCTATACTTATAAGAAACAACACAGAGAAGCGTTTTTCAATCCTTTTGCACCTGGGGATTGGCAAAAATTGGGAAATATTTTGCATATCGACTGATGGTTAAATACAGAAGTAAAGACAAATGTAGAGAGCATAGGTAATGTAAAGGAACCTTTGCCATGAATTGGGCATATAGGGCTAGACCTGTATTCTATAAACCAATCAGCTCTCCGTGAGTGATGTTGTCAACATTTGCCAGTCACCTTTACTTCCCAGGACTGTACCTAGTACCTATTCAAGGCTGGGTGGATTTGTCAGCCAGTCTTTTTTTTTTTATGTCCGGCTCCGTCAGGACCTGAATCAACAACCTTCCGATATGCACAGAGCATATACTTTATTCAGTCATGAACATAACCACCAGGAAATGTCAGCAGACCACAAGTTGAAGAACACTGAGACATAGCGTTTGTAACTTTACAAGTTTTCAGGACTATACTGAGAAAACAGAGCTGAACAAAATACATAACCTCTCCGCTTACTTTGACATTTTCTGTAATGAGAGAGAGCTTAACACTTCGCATCCGAATGACGGTATATGCCATCGTATGGTGTTTTAAATGTTTCATTTCTTCTTTTTTTTTTTAAACCATTTACAAGAAAATTTGAAAATTCTAAAGGCATTTGAAAAAGCACAATTTTAATGGATAAGAAGCTTTTAAATAAACATTGGATGAGACAACTTTTGAGAAGAGAGTCTTTCAACAAATCTTTGCACCCATCAAAGATAAAAACATCAATAGATGTATAACGAGAAAAATAAAATTGATAATCTTTATAAATGACCACTAATTTCTGACTTCATCAAGACTGCAGTGGTTGGGACATTTAGCCGCAATGAGAGGTGACAGAATGAGACTGCGTACAAGATGGCATTTAATCCGAGTAGACCATGAGATCATTGGTATCAGACAGGGCACCACAGAGAGCAATGTGATACAGATACAGCGGTAACAGAGCCAGAGGTCGACTTCGCAGAATATGGACCACAGAAATATCAGAGACACGGAAAAGTAATTTATATAAAGTGAACTGATGGGCCCGTTCCAGAGATCTCATCCTGCCCTGACGCCGCAAGGCATTTCAGGATTAGAGGAAAGAAAATATTTAATGAGGCAGACCAAAAAGACAACGGACAAATACTTTATTGGCACACCATCAAACACTGGGGAGTCGCCAACTGGAAAGAGAGGCCCAATCCCAGAGATGAGTGGAGATGGGTATTATCTGCAGCCGTGAAACTGAACGTGTCATAGTGCTGAAGAAGGTAAGACTACTGGCATAAACAACTCAGTAGAATGCATGTTTGACTAAACAATGGAACATTTTTATTACGCAGTGCAGCTATTATAAAAGTATATACTGTTTTACAGAGACTCTGGGATGAATACAGACAATAAAAATATTCAAGCTATTGACAATATTGAAGAAATATTTAACATTAACATAGAAATAATAACATAGCGATGAACAGGATCATCAAGCTGTTGTGTGTTGATGGTCTATAGCAACAACTTCCGGCTGTGTCACTATCGCCATTATCGTCTGTTTTCACGACACTGACGGTTGTTGCCTTCTCAGAACAGACAGGGGGCTTGAAACCTTCCATGACTGTCCTGACAAGGTTTGCTGCTTCTTGTGAGCACTTCACTTGCAGCACGTTCTGTACACACGTCATTAAAGCCTCATAGAATCTGAAAGTACAATTTTTATATAAGAAAAAAGAGATAAGTAAAGGACCCCTTTTCACGCAATAAGGCGTGTTGGGCATATAGTACTAGACCTATATTTTATAGACCAATCTGCAGTTAGTGGGTGTTTTGGTCACCAACACGCTGGCCGCCTCTACCTTACAGGACTGCACTTGGTACCCACTCAAGGCTGGGTCGATCTAGGAGCCGAGGTCATTTTTTAATACATGGGTAAACGTGTGTGTGTGTATGTATACACATACACACACATTCTCAACTCATTTAGCAGCAAATAATTCAACGCGTATTTTCTACTACTGCTGTTCTTTATTCCCTAGTGGACCTTTGCTATCGCATGCAGCTCAACTCATGTACTAACTGTCTTTATGTTTGTTTTAGTATCCAGAAGCCATGAGTTGTTAATCCTTAGGCTCGGTACTTTGGATATCGCAACCTTTCGGCCTTGATTTATGGTAAATACCGTAAATCTGGGAGAAAATGTGGCTTTTTTGCCTACCCCCGGTAGTAAACCCGGACCACAAGGAGTTCGTCACCCAGTGACTGCGCAATCTGGTTTAGCCAACTGCGCTAGAGAGCCGGGTACTTGTCTTTTTAACATTACTCTAGAGCCCGTCTCCAGTACTAACATTAGCCTGTGTTTATTTCTATACCCTTGTAAATTCCAGTGCATTCTAACTAAAAATATATTGTTCTCAGATTTTTCAAGGTGTGCTTGTTATTTCTTAATTAAACATTCGGGGTTTGATCCGTCTAAAAACAATTACAAATATAGCACTCTTACATGCTGGGAAACTGCCCCCATGTATCAGGATTATTATATGTTGATTTAAAAACTCTTTCTTCCATCCATCAAGAAATTATAGTTTATAGTATGTGACCCCGGAGGCGACTTGTAAGCAGAAAAAGGCTCGGAAGGATACGGGGCAATAAGGGCAGTAGACAGTACACACAGATACACATTTCATTCGTGATAATTGTAGTAATGCACATGACGCGATACTGCGAAATATGCCAAGCAAAAAAAAAAAAAAAAATGTTATATTTTGTTTTTGTCCACTTTATTTAACTATACTTATGTTATATTTGTTTATATAATATCTGAATACTGTAACATAGTCATTTCAAATAGTTTATGTGGGTGTGTGTAAGTGTTTGTGTGTGTGTGTGTATGTTTTTTTTCTCTGTATGTCTTCTGCAGATTAAGGCTAATTCGCCGCAAGAATGTTTGTTGTGTGTGATGTTGTAAAGCTGACACATATTTTATGTTTTTCTTACAATTTTCTGCCCCCCCCCCCTCCCCTCATCAATCTTTTGCAACATTCTTTTTCGATCTTTTTACACAAAAATTTTCCAGTAGAGAAAACAAAAATTCACATCAGCTCTCTACTTACTGACAATGAAACAACAGTAAGGAGTCCACATCGCCAGCGGAACTCGATTGTAGGTAGTAGCTGCTCTTTGCATCTTGAGCACAGACGTCTTGCTCTCTATGATGCAGTTCTATACACTCGACGCTAGAGTTATACACTGCAGATCACAAATTGCATCGCGTAATAAATTGTTGATTTGTTAAGAATATCATCATCATCATGTAGCAGGTCCTTTGCAGAACGTCGCTCTCATCACAGTCTGCCTGAAAGAAACTCGGTCTCGCCAGTTCTTCCGCCTCATGCACTTTCACACTCAAGGAGTTTCCATGTTCCTAACTTTAAAGTTGTCCTTAAAGCGGTTAAGAATTTACAGGGAATAAATAGAAAGGAAAGGGACTGGTGCTTCGGACAACACAGATCAGTCGCCAATAGCCGACCTTCTTTACTACCCACTATATTTTTCGGTATCCATTTTAGTCTGTATCGACATGAACTAGGTCAGTTCTAAATATCCACCCGGAAGCTGCGTGGTCTTGATGCATAGGGTCCGCCTCGAGGGCTAGAGGTTCCGGGTTCAATCCCTGGCAAGTGCTGGGACTTTTTCAACAGGACTTGGACTTCTAGTAATTCCCCCCGGGTCTCTGGGTAGTGAAATCGGACGCCCGTGTGTATTGTTGCGCACGTAAAAAAAATCCCTTGGCAGTTGGAAATCGAAAAGAGTAGCCTATCGGCGCTGCCCGGGCAACAATTTGGAGTTTAAAATCTACCTAAAGTATTTCAGGATCCTCACCGGTGCTACAGAGCCTGTGCACTGTGCTGAGCTTCTTTGGACTCAGAGTTAGAAGAATAACGGAGCACGTGTGCAATGATGTTGACACGTTGTTCAAACCTCAAACCTTAAATATCTACCCGATGCTGAACGACAGTTGTAGCTCAGTTCTTTTCAGTCTCAGACAAGTTTTCTTCATAAAGTAATGTAGAGAGAAAGTACAGTAACGAACCTAGTCCGTGGCTTTATGCGTATTGGGCTATATTTTATAGACCAATTGACATTTTTTGTGGGCTGATGTGGTCAGCATCACACCGACCACCTTTACTTCCCACGGGGAAGAAGTGGTCCTATCTTTTTCCCCCATAATGGGGCCCAGGAGCCCACACGGGAAGCAGTGGGTCTATCTTGTTTTACCCATAATGGGGCCCAGGACACCAGAAGCAGTGGTCCTATCTTGCCCCCCCCCTCTCACATAACGGGGCCCAGGACACCAGAAGCAGTGGTCCTATCTTGTCCCCCCCCCTCTCACATAATGGGGCCCAGGACACCAGAAGCAGTGGTCCTATTTTGTCCCCCCCCCCCTCTCTCACATAATGGGGCCCAGGACACCAGAAGCAGTGGTCCTATCTTGTCCCCCCTCTCACATAATGGGGCCCAGGACACCAGAAGCAGTGGTCCTATCTTGTCCCCCTCCCCCATAATGGGGGCAAGGACACCAGAAGCAGTGGTCCTATCTTGTTCCCCCCCCCCTCACATAATGGGGCCCAGGACACCAGAAGCAGTGGTCCTATCTTGTCCCCCCCCCCATCATAATGGGGCCCAGAACACCAGAAGCAGTGGTCCTATATTGTCCCCCCCTCACATAATGGGGCCCAGGAGCCCACACGGGAAGCAGTGGGTCTATCTTGTTTTACCCATAATGGGGCCCAGGACACCAGAAGCAGTGGTCCTATCTTGTCCCCCCCTCCCTCTCAAATAATGGGCCCAGGACATCAGAAGCAGTGGTCCTATCTTGTTCCCCCCTCACATAATGGGGCACAGGACACCAGAAGCAGTGGTCCTATCTTGTCCCCCCCCCATAATGGGGCCCAGGACACCAGAAGCAGTGGTCCTATCTTGTTCCCCCCCCCCTCTCTCACATAATGGGGCCCAGGACACCAGAAGCAGTGGTCCTATCTTGTCCCCCCCCCCCCCATAATGGGGCCCAGGACACCAGAAGCAGTGGTCCTATCTTGTCCCCCCCTCTCTCACATAATGGGGCCCAGGAGCCCAGAAGCAGTGGTCCTATCTTGCCCCCCCCCCTCCCCCACATAATGGGGCCCAGGACACCAGAAGCAGTGGTCCTATATTGTTCCCAATTCACATAATGGGGCACAGGAACCCACACGGGAGGCAGTGGGTCTATATTTTTCCCCTTATAATGGGCTCAGGAACCCACACGGGAGGATTACAAATTGTAACACATGTGGCGGGGAGTGGGGAGGGATTCGAAGCACTGGCTCAGAAATAGTAGATAAATTATTAGCTGTTGGAGACAAAAACAGATGAGCAGAGAAAACGATGTATGGTCATACGGTTGAACCCATCGTGCCTTGTTAGGTAGAGAATGAGCTAAGACCGGTTTTTTGGCTTTCGGATTGTCGGAACCTGAAGAAATCCTCGCACCCATCGAGGGGAGGCTGCTATAGTCTTCACTTTAGACCAGCAACTGAAGTACAATCTTAGCGGGATCTGTACTGCAGAAATCTCCTGTGATATGAGGTAATATCGATCCTTGCAATACTAGCCAATCTTTGGACCCAGCTGGTCCTCACCAAATAAAGGTGCCTGGACGCTGTAAGATCGTGACGTAGTTTCCTGAACTTTTGTTACAGAAGGCTCCTCAACCATTTGTGTATATTATGTTGACACATGGATTTTGACAGGAACTAACAGACAATGGGCAGCGTTAGCGCAGATGATAGGATTCCCACGGTCGATGTTTTAAGCCGGGCGGTTCCAGGGGTTCACCCAGCCTCTAGGTAATGGGTACCCGAGTTAACACTCTGGGGCAAATGGAGGAACGTTGCTGTGGCTATGGAGTTGCGTGCAGACGGCGACACAGGCGGACAGTTTCTTGTCAGCTGTAAGTGGCAGAGCACTTATTGTTTATAACAGTGTGCAATGACGCTGTTTGACATCTCCCGACTTTAATCTTTACCGTTACAGACAAACAGCAGACATACAGAGAGATCTACAGACTGTTCTACGGACAGCCAGATACGCAAATAACAGTTAGCTAAGATAAAAAAAAAAAAAAGTGACAAACATATGTCCCACTCACCTCGTATATTATAACAAAAGTAATCTATACTTGTTCTAGCTTTCTTAGTATCAATCATCTTCTTGAATACTAATGTAGAATCTGACCTATTGTCCCGACACTCGTCAACAGCCATCTCTAGACAGCCGATAGCAGTTAGCAGATCTCCGTTTCTGCAACAATATACTTCAACTTCAACGAGTGGCCAGTGTGACCTGTGATAATCGTAACATTATAATGATTGTGTACTTACTGAATGCCAGTCAGCCCGGCTTTATATTGTCGTGTGTATTTATATCCCCATTGTAACACAGAAAGGTTGAGGAAGATTGTGTTCTTGTTGAGGCTATGCTGTTCCAATTCTCCTCTCCCTTTTCCCACCATTTCCATTTCACTCATTCCCTTCTTTTGGAAGGTTTACTTTCATTAGTTTTAGGAAGTAATGCATACTATGACTGGTTTAACAGTGGGTAAAAAAAAAACTACTTAATTTCATTATTTTCTCGTGCAAAGTCGCACTCTTAGTGACCTGGCGCCAAAATAAGACGTCAGTTAAGGTTGTTTAGTCAAAGGCTCATCCCCAAATTAGTATTGAGATATTGCGTCATATAGATAGCTTATAAAAGCTGACATAGAGCTTTCGAGAAAAGGGCTTGTAAGTGTGTTCATGAAATGTTGAACACATTATTATGTGGGAATGAATATGCTTTGTAAGAGATGTTTCTTTGTGCTGATCTGGATTGTCTTCGGCTAAGACAAGTGGGGAGGAAGGAGGAGGGGGGGGGGGGGGGGTGACTAGCTGTCACAGTCCCTGGTTTGATTTATCGTACCTGATGAAAGTGTTTTCATCCAGTTTTGAATCGTCGGTCATTGTTGCTCCCGGGTAATCAAACTAAGATGCCAGTTCAGTGCCTTCTAGCTTAGCCCCAATCCACGCTGCGTGAGAGGCTTTTGGGATACTCTGGGCGGTGGCGGTATAGTCCCCGGAAGTACGCATTACCCACCAAGTGCCGATTGGTCTTTAAAGTATAGATCTAGCCCTATATGCTCAATACGCCCGAAGGCGTGGAAAAGGGTCTTTCACTTTTATTTAAGCTTTTACATTCCCTATCTGAACTTTTGTTCACTTGCATGAGATGTTCTCTTACACCATATCGAGCCATTACTTTCTATTATACTTGTCTGACGACTCTGCCGAACGCCCTCTCCTGGTCTAGAAATGCCAAAACAAGTTGTTATCGTAATCAATGTTCTTTTCTTTTAAATGTTTAAGAGTAAAGACTGCATGTGTGTGTTTAAAAAAAAATATTTGTTAGGTGATGCAAACCTTGCCCTTACCCCTTTCTCAAATTTTCTTCGTGGCAGCACGCCTTGCCTGCCTAATATTTTTTATGACCCATTCGGGACTCGACGAGTGACGTTTTTGATATCACGGCGGTCGCTTGTACTTCCCAGGTCCTTTTTAAGGTACTAGTTTTACGCTTCGTCAACAATTCTGAGTCTATGTAAAGAAGGAGCCCTCACTCTTCAGCAGGGAATTAAACACACGACTACGAGGCTGGAGGCTAGCATACTTACAACTGCAGTGCCGCTGCTTCTCAAATGAACTTGTTCCGTCCCAGGCAACGAATGACGTGTGGATTGACAATTGCTTTCAAATCCCAGCCATTGTAAAATGTGTTCTCTAACATTTTTATCATTTCACCAAACTTTACTGAAGAAATAGGATTCCCTTATTTGCGAATTCCCTTGTCTTTAAGCCTGTTTTAAAATGAGCGATTAGTTATCCTGATAAGCATCTGCTGCAAAACATGTTGTGACTGGAAGAGTTGAGTTAAGTTAAGTCAAGAATTGACATCATAGCACTCAGGGCATTCCCATGGGTGCTCTGTCATTATCTTCAGCAGCCAGCGCAGAGTTCCAATACTGATGGTACCGGTCACAATCTGGTTATATGTCCGTCTTGTCTTTCCTCTGAGTGTAGTTAGCCGGCAAGACCGTCTGGTTACACCCAGGTGCCTCATTCTCACACAGCCATAAAAATCTTGTTTGACTGGAAGAATCAAGAGGTAATTGAATTCATATATTGACATCGAAAATATGCACGTCATTAGTTTTCTTTTATTTGTTTCATGCATTGTTTGCCAAAGGTTTTTCTTATAATCAAATTACTAATATATGTGAATGAGTGAGCAGTTAGACAACTGACTCCGTACCTACATGCTTGTACCAGCCTGTCAATGTTTCCCTGACCTATAGGTTTATTTGGGGAACTCCCTGCAAAGATGCCACCAATATCAAGTTGTGACGTACACGCCATTGCTTTCTTTGTGGCCAGGTTCACACATGAACCGCGTGCAAAGACAATGGCTGAAAAAAATAGAAAATACATGTAAGCGCTTTCATAATTACCTGGGAAATATAAAATTAAGGAACTGGTTATTATATAAGTACAAAGTAAACAGCCTGATAAAAATTGCGAATATTTAATGGAATGAAGTCCAAGGAATGAGGAATAAGGCCAGTATCAAAAGTTATGACAGAGAAGATGGCGCTATATTGGACAGTTCTGAGAAGAGACAACAAAGAAGCTTCATCGCCACTCTAGAGAGGGATAGTGTATTATATTCAGACTAAGGAGTGGGCACAAGAAACTTCGTCAACATATCTTCAAATTTTTATGTGTAGGAAACGCGGAGACGTGTTCCTGCAGCGTATCACCCGAAAATTCTGAGCATTTGCTCCAACACTGTCAACTGTATGCTGACATCATCAGTCATCAATTCTCTTTATGCCTAGTGGCATGTGAGGCTTTAGAGAGGACTTTCCATGCTTTCCTGTCCTGTGCAATCTTCAGTGCAGTTTTCCATGTCAGAGATTCCGCATTCAGGTCACTCTCCATCGTTAGTCTCCATGTTGTTTTTGGGCGCCCCTGTTTTCTCTTTCCCTCTGGTGTCGATGTGAGATCTGTTTTGGCAGGTATATCAGGATTCATTCTCATAACGTGGCCAAGTAATTTACATCTTCTCTTGGTTATCATACTGTCTAGAGTTTCTTAGTTTGTAACTTGAAGTAGTTTAGTGTTTGAGATTGTATCTAGCCAGAAAATTTTGATAATTCTACGTAGACATGTGTGGTGGAAAATGGAAAGCTTGTGTACAACCTTGTTGGTCATTCTCCAGCATTTTGCTCCATAAAGAAGAACTGGTAAAGTAATGCTCTTGTAAAGTCGAAGTTTCGTTCCTCTGCAGTAACTGTTGGATTTCCAGATTTGCCTCATCCTTCCAAAAGTAGCTCTAACTTTGTTCAGGCGTGACTGTATGTCTTCCTTTGTCCCTCCCAGTAGGGACACCACACTACCAAGATATATTAAATGTTCTACATTTTCAAGTGTTTGGTTATTTATGGTCACTGGTTGTTGGTTTGGATTGTAGGTCATGATCTTAGTTTTCCTTGTATTTCTGTTGTGCTGTGTAGTCTGTCAATTGTTTCTTGGATATGTTCATGTTTATGTGATAGGAGTGCTTTATCATCTGCTAAATCAAGGTCCTCAAGCATGGTGAATGGAGCCCATCATGTGCCTCTCGATGTCTTTTCTACTGTGTTCTTTAGTATCCAATCAATAACAAGGTTGAAGAGGAGGGATGGCATAACACATCCCTGTCTTACACCTGTCTTTACTGGGAAAGATGTATTGTATTTTTTTATACTGCAGGAAAAGTCTTTTTAGAACAGAGCAATAATGTTGACTATCTTTTCTGGAATTCCATAATGTCGTAATATTTTCCAGAGACTGTCTCTATGGACGCTGTCAAAAGCTTTCTCAAAGTCCACAAAATTAATATATATTTACCTCTCTGCCATTCATTGCATTGTTCTAAAATGTTACGTAGAGTAAAGATATGCTCAGTTGTTTCTCTGCCCTTTCTGAATCCTGCTTGTTCCATTCGTAGGCATTTGCCTACTCCCTTTTCGAGTCGCATTATGATGACTTTACAAAAAATGGATTAAACGATAGCAATTATAAAGGCAACCGGCCTCCTGATATACGTTTTCTGACAGAAGGATGGAAAAAGAAGAAGAAGAAAAAGAAGAAGAAGAAGAAGAAAGAAGAAGAAGAAGAAAAGAAGAAGAAGAAGAAGAAGAAGAAGAAGAAGAAGAGAAGAAGAAGAAGAAGAAGAAGAAGAAGAAGAAGAAAGAAGAAGAAGAAGAAGAAGAAGAAGAAGAAGAAGAAGAAGAAGAAGAAGAAGAAGAAGAAGAAGAAGAAGAAGAAGAAGAAGAAGAAGAAGAAGAAGAAGAAAAAGAAGAAAAGAAGAAACAGAAGAAGGAAGAAGAAGAAGAAGAAGAAGAAGAAAGAAAGAAGAAGAAGAAGAAGAAGAAGAAGAAGAAAAAGAAGAAGAAGAAGAAAAAAGAAGAAGAAGAAGAAGAAGAAGAAGAAGAAGAGAAGAAGAAGAAGAAGAAGAAGAAGAAGAAGAAGAAGAAGAAGAAGAAGAAGAAGAAGAAGAAGAAGAAGAAGAAGAAACAAACAGACACTGAAATTGGAAATAAAAGGATTAAAGAAACGAGGAAGTCCAAAACATCTTAAGTTTATGAGAGAAACCAAAGTTCTGAAGTGGATTCCATCCATGATATCGAAATGATTTTACAGGATACAATGAAATAGGCAAACAGTCTGTAAGCTTTATGTGACACACGAAGAAACAAAAGGACAGTGAATAGGCAAATTAAATACAAACTAAGGACTCTCTGCACACCAGTGCCGGATTGACATACGATGCTAGACTCGATAGGTGATAAAGTCAAAATCACACTGGCCGTCTTTACTTCCCATGACTTATCTGCTACTCATTTTACGGAGAGTGGAAAATGTTTAGATAGACTACAATGATCTGGAGAGAATGGTGCAGAGTTGGTGACACGAGTATCTTCTTTTAGTTTATGCCGTTTGTCGTTGGTAGTTATGTCCTTCTTGGATGAAAGTGACTTGTGCACGGACTTAGATTCAAGTGAGGAAGAGTTGCGCAATTCTTCGATCTCACTCTCTCGCCTGTGTCGATCTGGATTCAATGGCAGGACAAATGTAGAGACGATTGGAAATGGACCTAGGTGCAGTAGATGACCAAGGCGATTTATATGCCTTGCTTTGCTTGAAGTTCTCATCAGAACCCGCTGGTAATCGCCTTTTTTGTCCTTTGAACCATAAAAAGTTTCATCCGCACAATCCGCCGAGTTTAATCAATTCTGACAAAGCTGATCTTTCATGCCATGATGTCCAACTGTGCAGCATCTTTTCTCTTGGTCTCTCTCTCTCTCTCTCTCTCTCTCTCTCTCTCTCTCTCTCTCTCTCTCTCTCTCCCACTCTTTGTCTCTCTCTACCTCTCTTTCCATCCAACTTTTCCACCGTCACGAGGTACTCCAGTTTTCTCCTTCTTATGGTTAGTTGCGTATCCTTTACAGGACGTTGCAGAACCAACCCCGGCAAATTGACTAGCTCTGTATGTCCAGTTTTCAGATTCAAATATTAACGAAGTCCACAGACGAGGGTCTAGCCGAAACACTACGGCGACTCCCCTGTGATAGAGAACTGATCAAATAAATTGCGAGTTTATTATTTTGCACTCAAGATAGGCCTTCAAAACGGGATTAGAATTATATATATATATATATATATATATATATATATATATATATATATATATATATATATATATATATATATATATATATATATATATATAAAACAACATAAAAGAAAAAGGTAGCCTACCTGCAGAAATAGAGATAATTTTCAGGTAGATCATCGTGTCCATACTCCAAGTGCGCTGTAGCTAAATTAAGTCAGTCTGTGCTAAACAACGCAACCTTATACTTCTTCATTGTGTATGCGCTAGAGCCCACAAACAAGACACTTCTGTTGTAAAAGAATAAACACAAACTCACAATATACTTATACTATGCATAGATCTCAGGCCCTAAAAGGCCCCCACCCCCACCTAATCGTCAAAATTCTGTCAGACAGTTACCGGTGCTATCGGAATTGGAACTCTTTGCTTGCTGCTGAAGATGGTGACAGGGCGCTTATGGGAGTGTCCTGAGTGCAGTGATGTCGATTCTTAATTGAACATTCGACATTCAACATGCACCGCCAATAAAATTCAGTTTCCTTACTAAAAAACACATTTCCGGATGAAGAAAGCCAGTCACAGCTACCTTGGTCCCATCCTGGCCGACTCCTTCGTAGCCAATATTGAATAAAGCTCCCCGTGTGGGTCCAGGACCCCATTTTGATGGGGAAAATAGACCCACGATCCTTTAACAAACATGTCGTAAAAGGTGACTAAATTGGATGTTTTGGGCCCAAAGGTCCAGACAGAGCAGCCTAGCTATAAACTGCAACACAACATGTCAGCTGCACTTTTAAGGGCCAAAGAAGAAGGGGGAGGAGGAGGAGGAGAAGAACAAGAAGAAGAAGGCCGAGGAGGAGGAGGAGGAGGAGACAAATTCACGTACATCAACGATTTAGATCTTTATCGTCGATAACTGAGTGCCATTTTTATAACTGCATCTGACGGATAACAAGCAATTGCGTTCCACACCAACGTGAACCAGTGACACAGAACAGACCATGATCATCTACTGCTACAAGACAGACTAACACGAAGATAGATAGTTTACCACTCCCAGATGTGCTAATGAGGCCTAGAGAGGATGCCATTTTACAAAGAGCCAGTGCAGCGAGGCGAAAAATGAACAGCTCCAGAGCTATTGTTTCCAGGAGTGACTATCAATTGAAAACGTTGGCTAAGATGTCAGGATACAGAAGTCGCTGTCTCGTAAATATAACTGGTAATCGCACAAGACTGGTGACATGTTGCATGTCTCCAGTTAACTTAAAAAAATGATATAGGATTATAAATTTTGCATACACAAACATGACATTGCACAATTTATAGTCCAGCATGTGTCTAGACAAGCAGTTCTCAAACTTTTTCACCGCGGCACCCTTGTCGGATTAAAAGACATTAGCGGCACCCCTACGTATAAAGCGGTATGAATACTTTGGAAAAGAAGAAAAACAGCGCTGCGCCAATGTATTGTTCATTTGTCTTTAGTGCGATGAATGAATGAGACGTATCGACTGCACCTTAACGAATGCAGGTAGAGGATGTGTCGCATCTCGAGATAAATAAGCGACAGTTCTTAGCACGTTGCGATTGGCGTGTAGCGCTACATCTAGAAACACAAATGTGAAACACAAAATAAACTATTTTCGACAGCGGCCAGAGAAGACAACTCAAATTTTAACCTTTAAGTATCTTCATGTCTTCTCGATTAATTTCACAATTTTTAGCCGATTCTTCTTGATTATTGGCACGGCATCCCTGACATACGCTCGCAG